TCTTTGATTGTGGCCATTATGTTCATAAATTCTAAAAAGGGAAAAGGCTCCCTTCTAAAGAGGGTTTATTTTAATACTACATTAAAGCTTGATAGTGGGACACTTTGAGGAAGTTTTATAAAAACAAAGTGCTATAAAAGCAAAGTGCTTTTGATTTATAAATAACCACAGCACTACTAATCTGAAAGCAAAAGGTTGAAGTTTATCTGCTGCTGACTGTAACAATAGCTGCACTGGGGTTAATCCAAATTGTCTGTGCAGCTTAGTACATTGCCTGACAGTGGTCAATGTCAGAGGAAAGGCTTAGGAAATATACTGTTCACTCTAAGTCCAGATAATTTATGAATACGTCGAATAGGCCTGATCCCAAATGCACACCATCAGGGGACCCAAGTACTTACTTGCCTCCGTTATGAAAACTACCTGTTTATTCCTACCTATTTGTCTCCTTTAAAGACAAGCAAACCATTAATAAGAGGTTCTGCTCTTTTAATCTGTGGCTAACATGTTTCTGAATTATGATTCAGGATGCTTTTGAAAGCCACGTTTTTAAGAATATACCTCCTGTCTGAAGGATAAAGCTCCACAGTGATGACATCAAGGGAGTTCCACGCCGAGATGGTGAGGCCGTTGTACAGACACAGCATGCCTATCATCATGGATTCACTTGTACCAAACCACAGGAAGAAGCAGCTAATTCCAGAAAGAATCATAGAACCACCTGCATTCAAGGGGAAAGGAAAGAATCACTATTGATTTTTCATGAGCCTTTCAAAGAAATGCCATATGGCTGTCATGACTCCAAATCACAAACAGTATCCTGGATATCAACACAAAGTGTTGAGGCAGGCTGTTAGAGCCAGAAGCACCTGTAGACTTACCGGACCTAGGCGAATAGCCCATGACATCAAGTCTGAACCCAACAGGTAGGAGCCTCTGAAAGGCAAAGACCCCTACATACAGCAATCCCTGAGCCAGATTCCCAAGGGTCCTGCACTCTTGTCACCAAGGTTCTTGCAGCCCCCAAAACATTGCTCATTGGTGCACTCCTCCCTGGCAGAAACTAACAGAGAGGTTACAGAATGCTAGGCTCCAGGCCAGAGGGCTACCTTAACTGCTTTGGAGGGGCAGTTCGTTCAGGGAGGTTATAAGGGCCCAGTTGGACCTAGGAACCCCAAGGGAACAAGTTCTGCACCTTGAGAATGCTCTGCCCAGTCTGGAATGCTAAAGATTTGAGTACTAGTGACAAAGAGTGATTAGTTTGCCTATAGAAGTGATTTTAGAACCAATCTATATATTATATATTTGTATTGTAAACCAGGCTGAGATCTAGGGGTATAGAGCAGTATACAAATTTAATAAATAATAATAAATAAATAAAATAATATATTACATGCCAGACACCTCTGCAACAATTTCCTGGCTATTTACAAAGGAAAGGGGGGAGGAGCCTGTGAATTTGATCAAAGGAAAAGCAAGAAGGTTGCTGAATCATTTCCTCTTGCCATGTTCCCCAGTCAAGCAACCCTGAGCTGCTTTCCCACTCACAGGAAAATGAAATACAAATATCCAAATCTTTGAGCATGCAAGCGAAAAAGCAGGTTTTTTGGAATCGGCTAGTGTGGGCTGTGGGTTGCTATTGAATAGGAAAAAAGAAGAGAAAGACTATGTCTAGCTACCTGGAACTCAATGGGATTTACTTCTGAATATACATATATAGGCTTGCACTGTCCATAGGGCCATTCCCTGGCTCAGGCACACAACCTTCTGCAATTACAAACAAAGCCATTGGCTTGTCCAATTTTACCCTGGACTTGTAAAGATAATTAGCTAGACTTCTTTCTGTTTCTCTGCAGAGTTCATTAGTAGAGGATAGGGAAGACTCACTCCCAACACCTGCGCTATTGCTGCTTGATTGGATAGAGTCATGCATGTTCCAACTCTACAGGTCTTTGAGTCTGTGTGCCCCAGTGAGAGCGACAGATTGGTGGCAGTGCTTCTGTCAGTGCAAGGGCACAGCTCCAACCTTACCAACCACCCCAGTTCCCACCACACATAAAACTTCCAGGAGATTATGTTCAAATATTTTTGAAGGGTATTTTGAATATACCAATTAAAGATTTTTGAGGAAACAGTTATCCCTCCCCTCGCGGGAAACTCTTAAAAGTAGGGTTATGCAAGATATTTTTTTTAAACCCATTTTCATGCAAAGTTCATACCTAACATTGTTAAACGCCCAATTCTGTCCATCAGAAGAGCGGAGACAATATTCCCTGGTAGTACAGCTAATGTCCCCAGGAAATTAACGAAGTAAATCCAATAGGCACTGTAATCATCATCAAAGGATATTTGACATCCTGTCTTGTTGTGAATGAATGTGCAGTTTACAAATTGACTGCCAGGATATTTATATGGTTCAAGATCTATGGAAATGAAGAAAATGAACAATATCATGATCTGTTCATATTAGGAATTCATCTGTTTTAAAACATTTCAAAAACTGATAGAAAACAATAACAACAAACTTTTGTAAGTGGTATAATGGACTTTTTTCAGATAATGAATTAGATGTAATTGTCAATACTATATGCTTCCAGGACAGTCATATGCAGAACCTAGTGGCAGATTGGTGTGATCTGCATCTCAGGGAGTAAGTCCCATTAAACTCAATGGAACTTACTTCTGAGTAGATCTATACTGTAACATTATTCACACCCATTATTCACAAGTCACACTCAATGCCTTTTTGGGGGAGGATTACGATCTCCTTATCCAATGTAGGACTGCACATTCCCCAAAATAAAAATAAATAAATCTGCTGTTTCTGCTTCCGCCACATCCTGCTTTTGGCCACTAGAAGCCAGATATGCAATGCCACAAATTCTTTACTGCCTCACTGACCAGTACTGAATCATGTTAACTCTTTAGTTCTCTGCAAAAGTTCTGGTAAACCAAGGTTTTAATATTTTCATGGTCCCAATGCTTTCTCAACCACCCTCAGCTGCTATTTACATTAGAAGAAAGGTATGTGCTAATTGCATTGATGTCCAGTTTGGGTCTCAAAGTGCCCTGCCTTCAAGAGGTCAAATAGATGGGGATCCCAGAGAGAGCTTTTCAGGTACAGGCCCCTGCTTATATAATCCTCAGCCAGACTGGAGAAGGCACCAATCCTGTTATGATTTAGATGACAGCTTAATACCTTTTTATCATCTAAGGCTTTGGATGAGTAACTGGTGGCTTGTCTTTCTGATTGTAAATACCTTTCTTGCTGCTGTTAATCTGTTTTTTAACTGTATTTTTGTTTTTTTAAAAGAATTATTACTGTAAATTGCTTTGGAAATGTGATATATAGACATTTTAAATGAAATCAAATCTTCTTGTGTATCAGAAGAAAACTGGGCTGGGGATTCCAGAAGTGGGGGGTTCTACCTCATAGAAGCCCCAAGTTCCTATTACTTGCAATGCACCTTCTGAAAGGAAGGAGCTCCGCAATAACCCAAAGGCACAGATGTCAGAATATGCAGAGTGGTTTACACATTGCACAAATAAATGACCACATACATGGAAGATAGATAGCTACACATTGCCCATTTGAAATCATGAATGTTCCCTCCCACTGTTGACTCAAATACCTCAGTGATTTGTAGCCTAATATATCTCTGAGCCTGTCTGAATTTTTGCAAAGGGCTTTGACCATAAGCATAGAAGTTTGACCTGACCTGACCCAACCTGACCTCAGCTGCAAAGGTTTTACCCTTTCCCCCATGATTCAATAAGCAGAGAGCCTCAGAAACTGCTTCATGACAGAGGGGCTCAGGGTTGGTTGGCTGTGTTCTTTCCTTCATTTTATACACCAGGTGCAGCTAAACCTCCCCATGCTTCCTCATTAAAATGGACATGGAAGCTTGGCCATAACATAGATGACATGGTAGAGTTTACAAGCCCATGTATCAATTCAACATAAAACAGTTAGTAGGAACACAGAGAAAGTGGGTTTTTTTTAACTTGTCTTGTATTTCATTGCAATCATCTATAACCACTTTACTTCTGGAAAGAAATGCTTGAGAAAATGGAACCCCCATGGATTTGGACAGCAAACAATGAGCTTCCTTCCTGCAATGCATACCTGTGTTGAAGAAAATGCTCCTCACAAAAGTGCAGTTCCTGAAATATGTATTCAGCGTAGTAACATCTTCAAAATAACAGGTGTTAAAGACAGTATCTTGAAATGTAACCGCTTTGAATTTCATCATTGTGAACCTGAGCAACAGAAGAGATTTTTACAGTCAGATTTTTACGGTCATTGTGAACAACAAGAGGCTACCCTCACCTGGTTTAGCTGGCCAGTCGAAGCCATTTCCTGGAATATGGCCACTGTTAGATGCTGACAGCTTCTAGGAGCCACAGGTGAGAGCTTAGTGCAGGGTAGGGGCCAAAGGTGGACAAACTACCCCAGAAGGAGCACAATGTGTCCCTCACCAAAGGTATTACCCCTCCCCTCATACACCCCTAAGGAATAAATCCTACTCAAATATGGAGTGGAGTCCCTAAGACAGTTGGATGGCACCTTGTATGCCTCCTTCTGGCAACTCCTGCAGCCAAGTTGGTGCCAAATGTATTGCTCTGCTTTCCTTTGGACCACATCCAAAGTTTGAGATGGAGGTTTTGTGGTCTGGGCAGCCCAGGACCTCCATACACACTGCCCAGGCTCGCACCCCATGGTCCACTTCAGCGCTACTGATGCAGCAGTTTGGCTTCACCCCAGAGGTGTACTCCATTGTCTCTCAAGATAGATGGATGCCAATAATTCATCACTCAATTCAAATGCTGCATGCTAGTAACTCAAACTATGGAAGTAGTATCTTCAAAGACAGCATGGTCAAAGGAACCATAACAACTATTAAGGATGAAGACTGATTGTAGGAGGATGGGGAGGAGTCTGGATATCGATGCACACTACTATTTCTTTATTTCATAAAGTTAATTCTGATTTAATTTATTTATTTCAACCTGTCATTGACGAATGTTCCATTGTAGTGAATCTGATTTTCCAAAGTAAAGTTGAAGTCAAAGTCTTTTATTATCTCATTTTCAAAACTCTTCCTTCTAGAAGCATACTCATCTGCTTGTAGATGCTTAATCACATCTGGAAACCAGACTGACAATCCATAGTATCTGTGAAAAGCAATAGATACAATTTCAATGAATCATCTTTCTTAGCCAAATGAAGCCTAAGTGGTCAGATTTACTGATTACACTATTTCCGCCCCCCCCCCCCAATGCCTGAAAATATCTTATAGATTTAGATTGTGTATAACTAAGCCATGGCCAAACTTGGCCCTGCAGATGTTTTGGGACTACAACTCCCACCATCCCTAGCTAACAGCACCAGTGGTCAGGGATGATGGGAATTGTAGCCCCAAAACATCTGGAGGGCCAAGTTTGGCCATGCCTGGTTTAACCAATATTTTCGCCAATACACAGTGACTAGTGCAAAATACTTCCACTCTTTGGGAACAACAATTATAACTGTAGCTTTTGAGGTCTCCTGTATGACCCTCATTTCCATAATTTGATTACAGTGGTACCTCGGGTTAAGAACTTAATTCGTTCCGGAGGTCCGTTCTTAACCTGAAATTGTTCTTAACCTGAAGCACCACTTTAGCTAATGGAGCCTCCCGCTGCCGCCGCGCCGCAAGAGCACGATTTCTGTTCTCATCCTGAAGCAAAGTTCTTAACCCGAGGTACTATTTCTGGGTTAGCAGAGTCTGTAATCTGAAGCGTCTGTAACCTGAAGCGTATGTAACCCGAGGTACCACTGTAATCTCAGAGATTTCACTAGTACTGAAAAAAACCTTTTTATAGTATGCAGCTGTGAAGCCATCTATTATTTCTCTTTCCATTACTTATCATTCTAATAAAACACGATCTTCTATTGACAGCTGTGAAAATTTAATACTTGACAAAAATTGCTCTATTTCTTTCTTTTCTGTATTGCTTAATCAGTATTACAACCACTTCATGTGTGTCTTGTTGCTCTTACCCAAAAGAAAGAGTAAACCATACTACTGCAAGTTTGGTTGTACTGTCCTTGACGGGATAAGTGAAACACCTCATAAAAGTTGACCAAATCTGTGAAAGATGAAGAAAATAAACATTTATTTTTAAATTTCAATTTAGAGTACTATGAAAAGGATAATAATAATAACCATATATGCTAAATTGAAATTATTGGGAAGAAACACTGGATAAAAGCAATGTATTAAATCAAAGTAGACACCATCATCTCGAACATCTCTGGTGAGCATGGCAGCAGAGAACATTTATTCATTCTTTTAAAAAACTAAAGCACGTCTTCAAATAATTTTTTGTAAGGTTAACAACAATCTTCAATGGTTACATTTCTATAGTTCTGCTTTCATATTCAGTGCAAATAATATTTTTCAAATTAATTACTTACACCATCCAGCTCTGTACGCACTCTGACATAGCACCGCTTGTACCAGGTTCCTGTATCGCTTTCTATTTCTATAAACTCATCTATTTGCTTCGGAGTTTTTATCCTGTTAACCTATGGAAGGCACAAAAAAAGATTTTTATGTTCTTTCCCCTTAGCAAACATTATTTGATATTATCCAAATGAGGATAGGCAAAGAACTTCATGATGGGAAGGAACCCTGCCTAAAGCTTCTAGAAAGAAAGGGAAACTGGATTTTTGTGTCATGAAGGGCAACTGCACAGAATGATACGCCATATCAAGGCAGGGGCAACTTAGCATGCAATCCAAATTAAGCCCCATTGAACTCAATGGAACTTCTGAGTACAGTCATACCTCGGTCTAAGAACAATTCTGTTAACGAACGATTCGGGCAACGCACTCCGCAAAACTGGAAGTAAGTGTTCCAGCTAGCAAACTTTGCCCCGGAAAACGAATGGAAGCCGACCAGTGGATGGGCACCGGCGGCAAGAAGCCTCATTGGGGAAAGCGCGCCTCGGTTTGAGAATGTTTTTAGTGTAAGAACGGACTTCCGGAACGTATTAAGTTCATAAACGGAGGTACCACTGTAGGCATATATAGGAGTAGACAGGGAATGGGTTATTTTGCTGAGCATTATTAAGACAGCTGATTAGCATCCAACTCACCTATGCATTTCTTAATATGTTTTTACAAAATGAAGGCATCCCCATCCCAGCAAAATCATAATGAAAAAGGCAATATCACAGCTTCATATTAAATCAATATAAGACAAAATAAATACAAAGATAATATTTTTTACAAAGATGCTTTCTTACAAAAATTCTTTCTTTCTTATATAATCAGCCAGTTCAGTATTAAAATAACCCTGTGCTCCTTTACTTGTTAATTCACAAACACTACATTACTATTCTTTTTTAAAAAAAGTTTGGCTATTATGAACCTAGTTGCCACATTTAATTTTAGATAGATAGATACCGTATTTTTCGCCCTATAGGACGCACTTTCCCCCCTCCAAAAATGAAGGGGAAATGTGTGTGCGTCCTATGGGGCGAATGCAGGCTTCGCGCACCTCTCCACAAGCAGCGGGAGCCCAGCGCTGGGCTCCCGCTGCTTGCGGAGAGTTGCCTGCATGCTGAAGCCTGCGCGCGCGGAGCTCAGCGCGTCCAGGCTTCGCGGACCTCTCCGCAAGCAGCGGGAGCCAGCGCTGGGCTCCCACGGCTTGCAGAGAGCTGCCTGTTTGGAGGCTGGGGTCGGGGGAAGCTCGGGCCTGGGGGGGAAATAATTTTTCCCCCTTTATTTCCCCCCCAAAAAACTAGGTGCGCCTTATGGGACGGTGCGTCCTATAGGGCGAAAAATATGGTGGGTAGATAGATAGATAGATAGATAGATAGAGAGATAGACAGACATAGATAGATAGTAAGTCTCTGTTTGAAAAATACCCTTTTGTTATTCTAAACAAAAATTTGTTATTCTAAGTGAAAACGCTTTTGGAAAGTACCAAACACCTGCTTCTGTAATTACTGAGATGACCTTTTTTACATTACACAAAAATGTATGGATAGCATTAAACATAAGAAAAGTCCTGTTGGATCAAACCAAATGCCCACCCAGTTTCCAAAATGGCCTACCTGATGCCAGTAAGAACTTATAAGCACAAAAGCATTCTTCCTATTTGTCCATCCCAGCAACTGGTACGCAGAGACACAGTGAAGGTGCTACTACATAGCCATTAATAGGGAGCAGGTGGCACTGTGGTCTAAACTACAGAGCCTCTTGGGCTTGCCAATTGGGAGGTCAGGGGTTCTAATCAACATGATGGGGTGAGCTCCCATTGCTCCATCCCAGCTTCTGACAACCTAGCAGTTCGAAAGCACACCAGTGCAAGTAGATAAATAAGTACCGCTGCGGCGGGAAAGTAAACAGTGTTTCCGTACGCTCTGGCCTCCGTCACGGTGTTCCATTGCACCAGAAGTGGTTTAGTCATGCTGGCTACATGACCCGGAAAGCTGTCTGTGTACAAACACCAGCTCCCTCAGTCTGAAGCGAGATGAGTGCCACACCCCATAGTCGCCTTTGACTGAATTTAACCATCCAGGGGTCCTTTGCCTTTAACCTCACATTTACATAGCATTAGTAACCTTAACTTTCAAAACATACCTTAATCCAGTAAATGTTTTCAATATCTATCCACCTGTGACAGATATTCTTAACTGTCTTGTTTACCTTAAGAAAAAAGGAACACTTTCCATGCTTTCCAGCAACTATATCCATCTAAATTTTGATGTTGGGCTAATGAGGCATAATGGTGCAAATGACAACTTACTGTGAAAACTTTTTCAGGCTGACCACGAGCTCTCATGTTTGTATCATGAATTTGTTTGAGAATCATCCAAGCTTCATCATGTTTCCCAACCTACAGATATGAACACATTTGGTAAAGCAACATATATATATTAAAATAGAAATTGAAGAACTGAAATTGCTGAGAGGTTATAATAATGTAATGATAGCTAAGCAATTGACCTTTCCTGCCTCACTCACTATCATTATTCCCTTGGAAAAACTGATAACCATACCTCCTATAGTCCCAGAATTCACCAGCTGCTCCCCTTTTTAGCTGATTTTCAACTGTGTGGTGTGGTATATTGAGTGCTTGTCACATGTGTGAAATGGCAGATCAGCTGCCACTTCCAAAGTCCTACTGGTTTGACTCTGGGGGACTTTGATGATCTTTTTAAAAATTCCTCCCACTGGTTCAAATGCGCGCGGGGGGGGATAGTTCCGACTGACACAGGTGGTGGTCCCAATGCTGGGGTCTTTCTACCTTCTTCTGGCCTAACACAGGCTACTGCAAGTGAGAGCACTGCTAGCAAAATATCTATGTCTTCAGAGATTTCTGTGGGCATAGGTGGGGCTTTCCCAGTATACAAGACTTCCTAAAAGGCAAAGAAGCACCTAACTCCCTCCAGCCAGCAGATCTAGGGGTTAGAACTTTTCTGTTATACATAAAGTTATTTTACCTTTTCAGTTATTTTTATCCCATCTTTTAGAGCCACACCTTCAGAAGGCAGTTTACAAAACAAGATTTAGAACCAAGAAAATTACAGTTTTAAAAAATCCATAAAATTTTGTGGAATCAGGCCTTTAAAGTTCTTTTGAAAACCACCAAAGAGGGATCAAACATTCTCCAGGGAGGCGGTTTCAAAGATATGGGGCCACCACTGATGAAAAGACCCTGCCCCTGTCCCATGAGTCTGATTTATCTTAGTGGTCGTCTAGACAGCAGAGTCTCCATGGCTGACCTGAAGCCCCAGGTAAACTCAAGTTGTTTAATAATATAGGCATTTTACCTCAAGCAAGAACCTTGGACTTTCTGGCATGAAAGTAAGTGCCACCACAGCGGAAACACAGGGCAGAGCACACATAATAACAAACACTCGCCAGCTGTGAAACTGGTAAGCAGATCCCATGCTGAAACTCCATCCTGGATAAGGGAGAAAGCACATGCACACATAAAAGGGCAATGCCTTAGAAACATGGCATATTTTGTATGGTTGACTTTGTTGATCATGAGAAATTTACTGATACTCTGATATGGCTTATGAGATGTCACTTTTGAGAGAAGAGAAAAGCACCTGCTTTTTCCAGTGAGCCCACATTTTTGAAACTTTTTGAATCAAATATTACACTATATCAGGAAATAAAACTGAAAATTAAAGGCTACAGTGGTTTATCCCAAAATATCAGCATGTTCCCCTAGAAGCATAAAACAACCATGAAAGTTGCTGCTTAGTTGTGGTTCATAATTGCCATTAAGCATTATGTTGAGTTATGTTTGTTTCTCCTGTCCAGCACAACAAGCTGAAAGCACAGAATGATTGGGATATATATTTATAATAGCCATACCATGAATAAAACAGATACCCTTTTTTGGCTATTTTGTTTCACTTTTCTTGAACTGATTGCAGTATTTTCTCGAGAGATTTCTCATTTAATATCTTGAACAGTAAGCAGTGTTTCTCAACTGCGAAAGTTCCATGTTTTCCCTACAACTTTCCACCAGAATAGCTAATGAATCTTCAAGGAGAGTGAGCAACAGATAAATAAGACAATAATAGTCAGAAATTAAAATACACCCAGACAATTATTTGTTAGATGTTGGTTTTGTTTAAAAGATGGGTGGTGTTTGTGTGTGACTGAGACAAACTGTGTGTAAAGAAAAGGAAGGGAAGCTAAGAACAATTTAAAATAGGAGAATGAAAAATCTGAAGTGTGTGAATGCGAAAAAGGAAAGAATTAAAACAAATGAAATGCTATTCTAGTGGGCTTTTAAATATCCTTATTACAAATATAGCAAAAGGCATGCAGTATTTGTTTACAAAATACATTGTTTAGCATCATCCAATGCTTCTAAGAATGCCCTTTTAAAATGCAAATGCTATAATCTACATTGTCACGCTATTATGATTGTTCTGTCAGTGCAAGCATTTCTGCTTGCCAGACAGATAACCTCTTATCTTCTCCCCCCCCCCGGCCCATGCACTGCTCTGGGGGTTCTCCTGATCCACCCCAGGCAGGTTTGCGGGGTTCAGGGGGAGGAGAGGGGAGGGAACATTCTGTTGCACTAGTGGGACTCATTGCACTGGCTCCCACTAGCAGAACTGTTTCATTGATTCCAGTCCTCTGTATTCATAACTACTTTGTTAGGATGTTAAACATCCACAGGGTCAATAGTTATTATTCAACAAATTCAACCTATTGTTACAGGCCACTCCAATCTCAGCCAAGTGGTAGTAAGATTACAGGGGTCTTGGCACTTTATCAGGGCTTGTGTTCCTTTGGAAGGAGGTACAGCAGAGACTGTAGTGTCTTTAAGAAATATGGTTTATTGACACATATTTACACCTGAATTTAGGTGGAGGGAGTGCAAAACATTACACCACAACAGCACCTCTCGTTGTTCCCTTCATAGCTCCAGCAGGAAAAAGGAAGGAAGAGTACTCTTCCAAGCACTAGCATATGTAATGTAACGCCTGCCTGCCTTCCATCATGGAACCCAAGGTTGCACATATGGGTCTCTCATCCAGGCACTGACCAAACCTGGACCTGCTTAGCTTCAGCAAATTGGATGTATCATGTGTTCTTAGACCACATTCCAGGCTTGTAGTCTTTTACAAGATCGTATTTGGTAATATATATGCTGTTTAGCTCATTCACAACTTTACATTCATTTTTTTTCTTGGCATCAGCATGTCATCACTCAACTAAAAGCAGCAGGTTTCATGCTGCATATGGTTTTTCTCATAGAAAAGATTGATTTCACTTTTTTCCCCCTTTTGTCTTCTAAAAAATTACTTCCTGCAAATGGAGATTGAAAGCTGTCTGGGAGCTCTGCATGTTCTGGTTTTTTACCATCATCCTTTAAGAAATTCAAAGCCAGGCTAAAGATTAAATTGGGATACAGTTGCTGGTTAGTTGTCTTTGAAAAGTGAATCAATTATTTCTCTGCACGTTTGCCATGCACACATTCTCACAGAAAGTCTGATCTAACAAGCGATCATCAAAAGTGATAATTAGCAAAGATATTGATTGCTCAATCAGATGTGCACAAGAAAATGAAGCCATCTTTCTCGTGCCAAACATCATATTAAAAATAAAAGGAATCACACTGGTTTACACACTAGCCCTAATTATCAATAAAATTAATCTTCATAGAAATGAACATAAAGGTTAAGTAAATTCTGAATCTGCAATATCTCTTTCCTGTGCTCAGCTCTTTGTAATTATTTAATAAAGGATAAGATCTAAATCCAGTCAATACTTTAGCTTTAACAAATCACGTTGCATGTACTTCTGTATCACACAGCCAATATGTACAAGCTAGCAAGGCTGTTTGTCTTGCAAACAAAATCCTATGGGAAAACTCTAAAACTGCAACTGCTACATTTACAGCACTTATCTTGGTTGCACAGGGGAGATACAGTCAGTAAAACAGAAGACCTGCATAAAATGTCTATTTTAGGCCCATGGTTTTCAGACCCACAGAATCCACAAATTCACTGGCACTATCACAGGAATTAGCCACACTGAAGTAGGTAAATTAGGATTATATATGAGTGATTTCCAGACCACTGTTCATTGTCAGGAATTTGCTACCTTTGTTCATGCTAACTGCTTCCAGTGGGAGGGATTATACCTGTCACAGACTTGCTGTGAGACATGGAATCCTTGTGACAAGTTTTTGTTCTCTGTAGCATTTAAATATGTTCACTAAAAGTTGTAGCACCATCATTGTTTATGCCTTTACTGCCACTGATAGGAAAACTCACAGAAGCATGAAGCCACATTACTGGGTTACATAATGGTCTGGCTTCTGTGACGTGGTAAGCCAAACTATGACTTACTGGAATCATGCAAACTTGCTTGCTCCCCAAGAGCAGCTTGAACCCTGCTTTGCTCCTCCTTGGTCCTTTTAGCTCAGGGCAATGTGGCAGCTAAACCATGGTTTGGCTTAGCGTGTTGAGAGAACCTGGTCTCATGGTTAAGCTCCCTCCTCAACCACAAGCTGTAGCCAAACCTTAGGAGTTCAAGCATTCACTCATCATCATGCTTTGGCTTATCATTACGTGTGAACACAGCCAGGGACTGTAAATAAACACTATGGGAGAATTTCCATGAGGCTGCCACACTGGTAACATTCCTCTATCAAGCCTTATTTCTATTTCTACTTTTAAGAGTGACTGCAGGAAAGAACCCCCTGCTGCTTCAGTATAGCTGGTCATACATTCTGATGCAAGCATCGTAATTCATTCTAAAGCTAACACAAAGTCACAAAATGCAGCTAACATTCCACCTGACGACAGATATAGAGAACATGAAGCAGTTGCAGATTTTTACCACTTCCTCAAGAATACCTGCTATTCCAGAAAGGCTTCGCTGTTACTAGACAGTATGATTTAAGAGAAAGTAGCATGGTCGTGAATATGTGGAAGGGTGGGGCAGGATGCAGGACTACAAGGTAGAGTGTGGTTAATCTGTAAAAATTGAGGTGTCATTTTTGTACTACAGAAGTTGGCAGCAACCTGGGATAAACCTGATTCCCAAAAGCAATTCCACTTTGCAAGCTGATTCTTTTATGTCAAGCAAGTTATACTGATATAAAAAGTGACTACAGATGAAAGCAAACAATATCCTCTGACTTCCTCTATAGCTCCACGATCCAAACAAATATAAAAACCAACCATTCAATACCTACAGACCTAGACACCTATAATTCCAAGGGCTTGATTCAGGGGATTCCTAATGATTGTGTCAGATGTTTCCTTCTCTCAGTTGTAATTAAGCTTTTGCTACGCTCCCAAGTCTGAAATGTTTCACTTGCAGTTTTGAAATAGTATAATTGCAAATATATATATATATCCCAACAGGGAATAACATTTGCCACTTATTCAATCCTGACAAGTCTGCTCTCCTTCATGTTTCCATATTACCATAGGGTAGCGAGCCAGTGTCTTTTTAAAAAAGTGTTCTTTAAAAAGTATTTTTAATACAAAGAACCAAACATACATTTCCACAGGGTTGTGACTCTAGTCCATGAAGAGTAATAACAATAAATGTGTCACAATAAATGTATAAGTCATTAAGGTGCCATAAGACTCTTTGTTAATTTTTGCTGCAACAGACTAACATGGCTGCCCTTCTTGAGACAGACATTTTAGAACTGATTCTAAAAATGTATGCCAAATGTATTTATCTGAAGATAAACTCTGGTGCCAAATGTAGATATGTTATTGGCTTCTGACCGGTTTGCATCCACCACCCTTTCGCTATGACACAACAGGAAGATATATGTGTTCTTTGTCTGATTCATTTAGAAGGCAGTGCAGCTCTGCAGACTTAAACTTCACCCTTGCTCTCTGCAAATGCTGAATTCCAAAGTCATTAATCTTGAAAACAGCAGCAAGTTCCAAGGGGCGACGGGTTGTTAAAACAATAGCCCAAGTGCATCCTGGGAACAGTTTTCTCAGGCTGTGCTGTAAAATAAAACCTACAGTAACTGCATTTTTCAGCCTCTGCAGCAGCTTCACATTGAATATCACCTTCTCACTCTACTGATTACAAGAAATGACCAAATGAATCACCTAACCTGCAGTGACAGATTACAGAATGGTATTAGCGTAGGACAGATCAATGGCAATGGAAAAATGTACGAAGATTCTAATTTACATAGAATCACTTACTTAAAACATTAAGCCAAAGGCTGTGAAAGTGGCTTTCTCTTTAATATGGTTTCCCCCCCATTTTCAACATTTGTTAAAACAAAGTAAGGGAAATTTCTGCAGAATGTACCAGTATTTTGCAACAAAGAAATGGATGTTACATGATTTCTGCGGATGAATATATGTGAAATTGTCATGTCATAACTGATCCAATTTAAATGTTTGTGCAAACAAACCAAGATTTGGAAACCAATAACAAAACGTTATAACAAAACGCAAATTGTGGTTTGTTTGGAGTGATACCCAGTTCAGATATAATGCTAAACCAGGGATTGTGACATGTTCCTCCAGTACGCTAGCAAGAAGGAGCTACCTTCACAGTAAAAACAAAACAAAACATTAATTATGGTTTAACATGACCTGCAAACAAAGCTATTGAATGATCTGTTAGGACTGTGCCGGAGGTTCTCCTGTGAACATTTTCAGGGTTGAGAAAGGACCTTTGTGGGCTCTCAAAACATTTTGTGAAAGAACACCAAGGGGATAGAAAAACCAGTAACAGCAATACATCTCTTGATTTGGGCATGTTAGGCTTTTCTGAACCTTTTTGCACTAGCTTCATAGATTTTACTATACTTCAGATACAAGGCTAAATCCACCCTGTGTGCCCAGGCTTGGAAAACTGGTCAACATCAACTGGTTGAAGCTGTTAGTACTGCTATTTTTACTGGTATGTACTTGTGCGGTTTAATTTGTTTATGAGTGGTTTCTTATTTATGAAGTATGATTTATGATTTATGAAGTAGAATTTGTAAGTTGCGTTGAAAGCTAAGGAGAGGAGCTAAGAGGAGATAAAAAATATTTAATCAATAAATCTTAACAGAGCTGCATGTTTTAATTATTCCTTCATCCACCCACCCTTCATTTAGGAAATCTGACCTGAAATATTTTTATTCATATTGTTATCACTATGAGGGACACAGATTGAAGAGAGCTATTAGAAAGAGCAGAATTACAGGATTAATGTGTGTGGTTTTTTTAAAAAAATATATAGTCAGGGAAGTTTGCTGAACAGCCACTGGGTGGCACCCTTAAAGCATTCAGATCAGTACTGATTCTAACTCTTTAGTAAGGGCTGTGTACACACTCCAGTTCACTCTGCATCCAGTGTGCTTCCACCACTGGTTTGGGAAGCTGTGTAAACACAACCCAGTCACAATCCATATCCATCCTGTCATTTCTTATGAAATACATTTTAAAGCATTTGCTTGCAAACAACCTCAACCTGAATTGAGAAAAAGAATGACCTAAGCTGCATTTTAAGCCATTAATATGTACACAGCTTAAGATACGTTGTTGGGAAAACAACTGGTTTATTATAGTAAGTCAGCCTACATCCTGAATATACTAAATAACTAAACTTTTTTTGGTTAAGACTGAAATACTCTGGCACAGACAAAAGCTGAGAGTCACTGCTGATGGAATTAGAAGTTTTGTTCAGTATCTTAAATACTACTGAGTTACAATCAAACCCAATATTTGGAATGAATTATGGACTAAAAATATAAAATTCACGGCTTGTTTCCTTATAAGGGAAAATCTTATGAAAATGTACTATAGGTGGTACCTGACCCCTGTAAAACTTGCAAAAATAAATAATTCAAACAATAACAAGTGCTGGCGATGTAAGGAACAGATAGGAACATACTACCATATGTGGTAGTCCTGTCTAGAGATACAAAGATTTTGGAATATGATTTATGAAGAGATAAAGAGATTGATAAAAACTACATTTAGCAAGAAACCGGAAGAATTTTTACTAGGAATGGTTTCAGATAATATTCCCAAAAACAAAACTAGGATATTTATGTACGCAACGTCAGCAGCAAGGGTTATAGTGGCAAAACACTGGAAAGATAAAAATACACCCACTAAAGAGGAATGGGTAGTCAAATTGTGCGAGTACTTGGAGCTCGCAAAGCTGACAGATGCAATAACAGATAAACCTAAAAAATTGGTGAAAGAAGAATGGGAATGTTTAAATAATTATTTAGGGGACAAGGGCTCAGCAAGAAAGATCTGGCTATGTCTAGAATGATGCCACATAGAGAAATGTTCCCTGATACCAAGATGAGGGATTCCTTTGGAATGCAGATAGAGATAATTGATACGAATAAGGATCTGTTGTGAGCTTGACGGAAGTGTACAATAGATGAGCCTTCCTGCTTTGGCTCATCTTCCTTTTTTTCCCTTTTTTTCTTTTTTTTTCTTTTATCTTTTCCATAGTTGCTTATGTTCTGTGTTATGTACTTTGATATTTTTTGTAGTTTTAAAAGTTTTTTTCCCATTACTATTAAGGAATTTTCCTTTGTAATTTTGGTTGTCTATATTTATATGCACCTGTTTAAAGCAAAATAAAAGTTATTAAAAAAAAAATACTGAGTTACAAGAAGAGTGTTGTCAACTGAATAAACAACTAGAACAATACTAATATTCTGACAGATCAGTTATAGTATAATTGAGGTTTGTTCCTTGGCTACAGAAAACTAGCATAGCAGGAAGAAGGCAAGGCTGGAATCTATTTCTCTGACATAACTTTCTATATACGTACAGGTTTTATTGTATCATGGATCATTCGCTCATTTGAGCACACACCTGCTGTCTGCAATGGCACAGTCAAGAAACAGGTTTACCTCCTCCTCAGATGTTTGTAAAAACTAGGGCTGTGTCTGGCTCTCTTGTTACTATTAGTTTCTAACGTTAACAAGCAATGGCAATGCAATAAAAGAAGGCAGTGATGCTTTTAAACGTTTGCCCTCATCTGGGATTATTTATAAAAACATATTGAATTTCTACTTCAGGATCAGTTTGCTGACATTTAAAAGCAATTACGACTTTTGGAAACATTTCCCCAGAAATCTAAATTGGATGCCTCAGCTATTATTAAAAATTGAGTGCCAGAGCTATTGTTGATATACAGGAGAGAAGCTGGAGCCACTTAGATTTAAATCAGGTACTCATTTAGTACTTAGCATTCAGGACTATGAGAAGCCCAGGAGGACTCCCATAGAGGCCATGCTGCTCTCAACGCAAAGGTAATGAGGGTAACTATGTGAATAACCCTTACAAGTGTGTTTGATGTTATTTATCCCCACTGCGATGGTGTCCAATGCCTCAGAGTTCCACAATCTACACATGGAGAACTGGGGCCTAGAACAACAGGACTACAGTCACCAGGAATACTTGAACAAAACATGAACCCATGTTTCTCAATCCAACTCTAATGCCCTATCTACAACACTGCCACTGATCTGATGTATCTTTGCTTGAGTCAGGTGTGGATATAATGAGCCATGACTGAGTTCCTGGTTTGCTGAGCAGACATGCATATAAAGCACAACTGCGTGATTTCCATGCCAGGAAATCACTGCAGGCAAGCACTCCCACAGTAGAAAATGATTATATGGGAACAGAGGCAAAAGAACAGCAATTTACTAACCAGCTTGTGAAACTACTTGGCTTTGTCATTACGATTCTTCTTTTTTATCACCTTCAACATGCAAAATTCTCCACCATCTATTCCCTGCTGTGCTCACCTTTTCTTTAAATTGTATCTTTAGATCTCTTAATTCTAAAAAGGCATATCCCAGTTCAACTACCCAGGGCTGTAGTTTTGGGGTTTATTTGTTATTGTTGTTAAATTCCACTCCAATTCAACTCATTGTAGTACATTAGTCTTCAGCTGGTGGGTCACAGCCTGACCTAAGGTGGGTCATCGCAGGACTATACTGTACAAATTTATTGAACTTAATAAACATCTCACATTCATTAAGATGCCTACAAGAGGTTGCATTATATTTGAGATTTGCACTCCATAACAAAATGGGTTATGACCATGCAATCTTACTGCTGTCACTGAGAAAGTGCATTGAACCCAAACTGCTTTATCTGCAGATGGGAAGATGCTCCACTTTTAGAAGTATTTCCTCCTCTGCAGATATCCTCATAAGGACAAATCAGCTGACTGGCAGATATAGAAAGCATTTTTTGAAGGCATGCTGCCAGCTCCAATGAGCACAGAAAGCACATCTTTAAATAAGGTGGCTGTAACCATTGACCAGCAGTTGCTGCAACCTCCTTTGAATGTTGACATGTGTTAGTCACCTGTCATCATTATCACATCAGGTGATTGACAGACAGATGTTCCTGCCCATCCATCAATGTTGACAGGGGGTGGATATAATGATCCACTGCCTGGATCCAATTCCCCATCCCTGCCTTACCTCTAAGCTATAGCCCTTCCCCTAAATAACCTAGACAACTAATAATGTGCAAATTAACACACCTAAGCACACGTAACTTGTTCGGAATTATCCCTCACTGCTTTTCTACTGGTCTTTGCATTTGTGCTCAAAAATGTGAAAGGAGCATGGAAGAAACAAATTAGTGCAAGTGGAGTCAATTCCACTACCAGGGCTCAATGCAGATATACTTTCAGTCCATTTCAGTAGCTTCACTTGATGATGGCATCTGTTCCTCCTCACAAAATTTAATTTAAAAGAAATTGCTCACTCAGTAGCTGCACATATGTAAAATGTATTTTATCCTACAACTTCAGCCGAGAAAGCAATGTCACAATGAGTTTTTCTCCCACCTTGCTTTAGGGCAGGGATAGGGTACCTGTGCCCTCCACAGATGTTGTCAAACACAAGTTCCATCAGCCCCAACAAGCATAACAAATAGTCATGGGAATTGTGTTTGAACAACACCTGGAGGGCTAAAGGTTCCCCAACCCTGCTTATTGACTCATTCTCATTAAATGGAATCATCACCAGTAACCAAAATGGTATTGCATGCCACCCCAATCTCCAAGCGGTGCAAGTTTCCAGGGTGTATAGGTGCTTACCCAGGGTTCATTTTTCCTTTGGAGATATGAGATACTGCAGAGACTGTGGTGTCTTTGGGTATCTATGGTTTATTTACGCATATATATGCAACCTGGGGTTCACAGCATCAGCACCCCAAGGGGATCTTGTTTCTTTCACAGCCACAGCCTTGGATTCAAGCAGAAATCAATTATCATGTTCTGCCATCTCTGGCTTTCTAGCCTGCAGCTTTACTCCTCAGTCACATCACAGCCAACTCCTAAATTCACTCTGGCTTTGTCCTTCTATCTAAGAGCTGGAAGAGATGCCCCATATATTTGCCATCTGGCACAGAACCCTGACTCTTCTGCTCTCTTAATAGATCACTTTTTCTTTGTTTTCTTAATGGCCTTTCACCCAGGCAATTACCTGAACACAGGAAGCCAGCATAGCTTACATTTTAACACTGGCTGGGTCCATGGGCTAGAATGGGTCTGGTACCCACAAACTCATAACAATATATTTGTGGGGGTTTTTTTAAAAAAAAATTGCCCAAACAGCCTCCTTTGGGTTGCCAACCTACTTTGAAATGCCATTTCCTGTGAAGTGTGCTTGCCCCCTTTGCTGGCCTTTAGGGGGATTTTAAAGGCTTATTTATTCTACTCTACATTTGGTTAAATTTAGAGCAGCATGCTTTTGACTGAAGTTTTCATTGCTACTTTCTTGTTTGTTATTTTAATTATCCATGTGTTGGATGTACAACATACAACAAGTAAGTTGTAATCTGCTTTGTGAAGGCTTTTACCTTTAAAAGTTGGCTAGAAATCTAATTGATGGATTGAGTCATTTTCCTTTTTTATATTTTAGCACTGGAGTTGGTTTTGGTGTAAACATGTTCATTTACTAGAGGGAAACTGATCCCTTAGAGAAAGTCAAGTGTACTACAAGACCCTCTGGAGAAAAAGGCTGCCATCTGTGCCACTCTGGCAGGTGTAAAAGGTGAAATGGTTGGTTCATCAGGAGGCTATTAATGACTAGAAAACACAAGGCCCTGCTTCCCTTACTAGAGGAAAATTAACACAGGGGGGCATGTAATTGGAGAGTTGAGCTACAACTCAGACACCACTCTAATTTTCCACCTCTATAGCAAGTCTTTAACCAAAGCAATTCTTTCATATGCAGATTTTTCCAAAGACGAAGCAAATAAGAGTTGCTCATGAAAACTAGTATGGAAGAATTAAGAGATAATTTCATATCACCGCCCTGTGGGGCTGCCTGTTTTCATTTAGCCTCAACAGTACAGAGAATGTGGTAAAAGCATAATCAACACAAAAAAATCCTAATGAAGCAAAATCCATAATTGGCCAATACTTTTAAGGAGGCTAACCAAAATGTTCCATTGCGCCAGAATGCTGGCCACATGACCCAGAAAGCTGGCTCTGGACAAAAGCTGGCTCTCGCAGCCTGAAAGCGAGATGAGAACCACAACCCCATAGTCATCTTTGACTGGACTTAACCATCTGAGGTTCTTTACCTTCACCCTTTATAACATGAAAAATATCTACAACATAACAAACGCAGTCATAAACAATAAATAAAATATTAAAGTACACACAACCAAACTGAACTATTTCCACATCAATCACAACAAAATCTAAAATAAAGTTTAAAAAGCAGCAACAGCAACAACTCCCTACCCAACCTCCCCCAAACAACAACATAACCCAAGTCTGTTCAGCAACCTCAGCTTTTTGTAGCTTCAGTCAGTCAGGATCCTGCCCTCCCACACCAGGTGGAAAAATGGCCTACAAGACAGGCAGTGGGTCTTCCAGGACTCAAAGCCAAGATGGTCTCAAGAGCAAACATGTTAGGTACCAAATCATTCTTTTTTCTCTGGCCACTGATGAGTCTCAGCTTATTTGTTAGTTTTTCCAGCAAGGCAATATCCCACACTTTACTTTACCAAGTAGTAAGATGTTCTTTTTATGATGCTATGACTCTGAAGCTGCATATACACCATACTTTTAAACCATGTGACTTTCCCCAGAGAATCCTGGGAACTGTAGTTTACTCCCACAGAGCTACCATTCCCAGCACCCTTATCAAAGAAAGGTTGCCAGCATTCTTTTGAGTAAGTCATATAATGTATGGTTATATATGCAGCCTGAATCTCCAGTTCAGTATCCCTACCAGCATCCTAAATTGATGTTCTCTGGGTAGAGCAATTCTGTTCCCTTGCAAGTCATCATATTATTATTTTCTTTCAAATAAATAACTGAGAAAGGGTAGCCTGCTATATTCCAGGAAAGAAAGCTAAGAATATAAAGAACATGCAAAGACTAACTTCAAGCATGTTGTATTTTATTATTCTTACTCTCTTTCCTACATTATAGCAAGAACATTGGCTTTTGGGAATTTTCTGCAGAATTAGAGAGAGAGAGAGATTAAATTACACCTACTCCCATCCCAGGGTCTCATTGTGCTATTGGCCACAGTCCAACAGGGAGTTTAGCAACTCAAGTCAACTGAAATATGGCTATGACATACGTTAATAGGCACTAACTATTCTGTTATTTATCTGCTGGTCTTAGTCAGAAAACAAGTTGTAAAGAAGGCATGATGATTAATTTTACAGGGGTTCATACCTGTTGATGATCACATGTAAGCTTTTAAACTGCACCAGAAGTTTAAGGAAAAAATATGTACAGCATACCTGCTCATTAAAAATCAATCAAACAAACAAACTTTATTGGCATACAAGGACAGGAACATATGAATCAAAACATATGCTTTGAGATCAAACTATACAGCTTTAATAAGGTTAAAAAGTACCACTCAGGTCTTATGACGATGTAGTTTCATGGCATTGCTCAGATATTTTGCTACTTTCTCCATGCTATCATGCCTTCAGCTATTCAATAAAAAGGAAACCCTGTAGGAGTCATAACACCCTAACCACTCCTTCAACATGGGGCTCAAACATTTGTCACAAATTACTGCATAAAATGGACAGTAAACAAGGCATGTGCAATGGTCTTGAACTGTCCTAGACCACAAGGACAATACCTCTCTGAACATGGAACCTTCAAAAACCTTCCCTGCAGAATGGCAGAAGGCATAACGCTAAATCTAGCAAGGGAAATAGCTCCACATTGGTGAGGATTATATAGGTAGATATGGAGCAATTTTGTCAAACAAAGGTAGGATCCCTAACCCCAGTGGTGAACAAGATTTGTCTGGGTGTATCAGTGGAAATTCAATCATACTGCGTTAGGTATCAGTCTAGACACTGCACCACACAGGCTAGTTCTAAAGAAGCAACTGGGCTGTCATTATTAAATATTTACACTGAACTTTCGATAACAACAGTTCAAGGCAGATCAGAGACAACATGAACTTGGAAAGGTAATGCTCTAATTATACAACAAAAAGGCTGAACAGGCCACTGTGGGTTAATGCTAAGCTGATACCATTGAAAATCTCATTACAAGGATTGCAGCACGTAATTGAGCTGACTCTATGGCTGAGTGAGTTAGCAGCCCCCGAGATTTATATACCCACAACATCTATGGAGAGTACGTGATTGGGTCTGGCTCAGTGCTGTTCTTCAGCCACAGCATTTTAAAATGCATAAAAATAGAGATGTAGGAATTAGCGGCAAATCGAAACTATCTGACAGTGTCCCTCTCCTGCTCCTCTCACCCCACTACAAAACACAGGCTGTTGGGGAAACATGGTATACAACCAACAACAATCTGTAACAAGGAAACAGCGACTGGAATGGAAAGCTGCATTTTGTTTTCAAAAGGTTACTTTCTAATTCCTTTGTTTGGCTATCCTTTTAGAGCAGTGTGGGGGTGGGGTTAATGTAATTTATTTTTATAGACATGCTCATTAAACATACCTTTCTCATCTGCACAATTACATAACATGATTGGTTTGTTGTCTTGCTTTGCTTTTACTCTTAAGCAAATACTTTGATCATTTCAAATGTAACAATTTTTTCCAGTAGTAACTTTGCCTTGATTTCACATGCTCCAAACAAAGAGATTCATATGGTTAGGACAAAGCAAGTACAATCAAAAGGAAACCAATGCAATTTTCAAGTTGTCTGGCCCCATAATGGCATCTAGACATTCCATCTTGGTGACTGTAACCCTGGTTTAAGGAGCCATTTGGCACCCAGCTTATATATCTGAGTTTCTAACACTGCCTGAGTCTTCCTAAGGGTGAGAAAAGAATCACATGAACTGTCTTCCCTGAAACTAGGTGAGCATGTGGAATTCACACCAGAGAACATCAGTATGGTGGAGGGACATCCACTACTCATTCACCCACACAGTTTTAGCACTGTCTTCCAGCAGAATATACAAATTGTAGTGATGTTTAATAGCTCTGGAGAAGTGAAGAACTTTAAGAAGCTGAGACAGCAGAACTGACACAAAAGGGAGGATTTTGCTTTGCACCTAGTTTCAAACATATCTGCAAAACAAAAGAGGCTGTGGAAAGACCTTAAATATCACTGAATTTACAAAACAGCAACAACCCAATAATAAGAAATGTGTCTCAGCCACACCTCAGATTCTTTCCTTATCACAGATACCTTTAACACATTGTTAACATCTTTGATTAATCACTTCTCTTTTCTTGATCTCAACATTCATGCCCTTCAAGACATCCTGCGTGTGGATGCCCATAAATCACTTGCTTCCAAATCAAGAACAAAACACCTGTTTGGTTGACATATACATTTAAAACTCGATGAATAGTATTTGGAAGGGATACATATGTAGAATTTATGCCATGACTAGCTAAGAACACTCCTGTCATACAAGCCTGGGCATCGTCAGGCAGCTGCCAAAGAACAGCTTTCTGAAAGGGGCCAAAACTTCCTGGTGCAACCTGGAGTTGAGAGGAAGAATCCGCTCAGAGCTGCAGCAACAACAGACTTCCACTGTTGTCACAACACACACATGCAAGCAAAAACACATACAAGTTGTTGTTTGGCCCACAGGCAAAGCAGGTAAATACCATAAGGATAACCTCCTCCAAAGGGAAAGCAGCAGGGTTTTTTTAGGGTGGGGGTGGGGAGATGTTTATATCAACAGCTCTTGTGGCTGATTTCTCCTTTCAAATGTGTGTGGGGGGGTGTGAGAGAGAGAGGGGTAATCAATGATATTCCACTGTCCCCTCTAGTTTGACTTTGGCACTGCCATATATACTTTGGCTTTTATTTTTAGAGGATTTTCACTCCTCGTTTACCATCTCTGGGTAAGCAATTCCCCTCTTTTATTTCCTATCCAGCCTATAGAATCACAGGAAAGGGTAATTACTGCACTTACAAATGAAATGTTTTCAGCATTCATTAAGCAGATGTGCTAAAATGCTACTTAAGCTACTAACCACAGAGAAGACAAACATTTAAATGATTGGGGTGGGGGACACACAAAAAGAAACCCTTTGCATCATGGTGGAGAAAACACCACAAACAGATAACCAGGGGATTTAATTTGGTTTGCTTATACTAATTTGCACAAGCATCTGTTCAAAATTCTATAGAACTTTGTCATTCTTGTTGCTTTCAGTATTTTAAGTATACGCTCTAATGGTGTACTCCTGCACTGAAAATCCATTGGATGAGGGGCTCTAAGGTTTGGCAGAAGCCGCCAATGGGCATAGCCAGGGGGGACAGGGAGGTCCCGCTCCCCCCCAGATCAAGTAAAACAATAGAAATAACTAACTGACCAATCACATCGGTTCTGCCCACCCTAAGAAATGCCCTGAGCCCCCCAAATATCCTGCCCCCCCAACAAAAATCCTGGCTACATCCATGCCCACTGCACCAGTAAGTGTCAGGAGTGCTTGCAGGAGCCAGGCCCTGTGACCAGTAGGGCTTCGCAGGACTGGGGCCTTCCTAAGTTTGTTCTGGAGAGGCAAGGCGCGGCCACACAGGTGAGGCCGCTTGGTAACTCGCTGCACCTGGGGGCAAGAGCCGGGAAGGGATATAAGGTCAGCATTTCCCTTCAGCTCTTTGCCACAGCTATATGTTTCCTGCCTTGCTGCGTTTGGCTTCTTGCTTCCAGATCCTCGGACCTTGGCTTCTTGACTCTGTGCTTCTCAACCCTCGGACCCTTGACTTCGTGACTCTCTGCTTTCTGACCTTCGGACCCCTGGCTTCTGGACTCTCGTTCCTGCTCCCACCCCGCCATCTTGCCCCCAGTCCCAACGTCCTCATCCGGGACTTCGATCGCCCGTAGATCGGACCATGACAGTAAGATGTGAAATATGAAAGATTCCCCAGCAGAACTCAATGTGTCTGTTCTAGAGAGTATGGGGTCGATCCCTTCTCTTCCTGTACTGTATCCCCCACCCCTGTTTCCTCCACTTCTATCTGCATTGGAGATCATTTCCCTAGAAAATTCCATAGGTTGTCCATCAGAGTGTACATGATTCTTAGCAAACAGCCTTTAGAAGTAATAATGACCAATGCAATTTACATATGTAGAGGCTTCTGGCTGAAGTCTGAGCTGACAGCTTGCAGAGGGTTTTTGATATATATACATGAAGGGCCTCAAGTTGCCCACCCTTGCTCTACAGTGTGTGACAGCATATTTGGAACTGGCCATCAGGGGAAAGAGAGGGAGTAGTTACTCCTTCATTCTCTTCTAGACACTCACAAACTAGTTATATTATTCTTTCCTTTATATCTTCCAATAAAGTACTCTCTTTTCCTGACTTCATTTTTTTTTTAACCTATTCTGCCCTAAGCAATTCCGTGGGACACATTTTCTGCAATGTTTCAGAACTCTGTTGTCCATATCCCAGTCAGCATCTCTATTGGAACTCTTAAAAAAACAAACTACTTTTATATCAGCAATTGTTTTTTACACCTTCCTTCTTTTATGGTTGCATCTCTTTAACTTGTTCTATAATTGTATGTTTAATTATTGTAACCTGCCCTGGGATGTCACAGTAAAGGGATGATGAGGTATCAAAATAAAATAAAATAAAATAAACTGCCCACCCCACATTGGATATGCGCTTGTCCATGTGTTTACGACACACAAAAGATGACTGGTTTCAGCATGTTAAACACATGTCAAATGCCAGTAAGAACACAGACCTTCAGTATTAGACAAAACCAAGACTGATTTTTTTTTTCTATTCTTCTTTTTACAGATATCCAATCTGGTGTTGGTGCAGCAGCAACAACTGCAGTAAATAATTTTGGAACACTTCTCCAAGGTGTGAAGTAGTTTTGGCTTCTATCTCTCAGGAGCAGTCTGCTGTTGTGACAGCAGGGTGTGAAATCATTTCCTATTCTTTTATTACGGACCATTGTAGGCACATCCCTGCCTTATGAACGACAAGATCTACCATATCAGAGAGATTCTAACCTCCCTCTATGGACTGCAGCAGGAGGACGGAAAAAGTACAAATAATTTAACTTACAGTTCCCAGCTAAAAACCACGCAAATTTTTCACCAGTGAACTGCAGCCTATCCCGGATAATGTCAGTTCTCTTCCACAGGCTGTGGTGGCTCACTCAGTTTGACTATTCCATCGTAATATTATCACAGGTAAAATCCCTACCACCTGCACCACATACAAGGATTGTAGTTGCTAATTCCATCCCCCTACTTTCCACCGCCACCATTAATTTTCCTTTCTTCACATATCAACACACACAGGGTAGCTGGGGTTCAGTACAGAACAAACAGATAAACAGACCAGGAGTGTTAAATTCTAAAATTCTAACAAATGTATTATTTATTTAAAACATAACATAATGTAATATAAAACAATACCACAATACTGTACTTTGGAACCCCCTGCCTACTAAGATCAAGCAGGCCCCTTCACTGTACTCTTTTCAGTGTCTGTTAAAAACATTGCTGTTTAGACAAGCCTACACAAATGCTTAGAAAACTGAGGTAACTTTAATCTGTTTTAGTTTTTTAAAGTTTTGTATGTTTTAAAATAAGATTGCAATTTTTAAAATTGATTTTACTGTTTTATATTGTGTAAACCACTTTTGGGGTGTAAATTTTATGGCATAAATATACAACTGCCTAATGAAGTGGTACAGTAAGATACGCTACACATTTCTTCTGTACTTAAAGATAAATCCTAAGGTGACTTGGGCCTCTAGCAACAATGACAAACCCAGGAACACTCCAAGACTGTGCACATGTTCATTCAAAGATAGTGCAACCACATTCTGAACAGGTAAAGTGCCGAATTCCCACACTCAGAAGCCACTCACCCACAGGATTTCCATCTGACAAGGATTCAATTTCAGTTTACTAGCACCCATCCAGCCCAACATTGCATCCAGTGTGACTTGGTACTGGAATCTCTTTAGCTCAAAGAGCTACAAGGAATGATAACATATCTCCATTAAAAAATTCAAACTCTAGTATAAATAGGCTTCATCTCAGTATGTACCTTAATTCATGCTAAGTGAGAGATAAGCATTTGTGTTATTATGTATTCCGTAAATCTTTTCATTGGCATTTAGCTAGAACAAGGACCTTATAATTAGCTGATACAGCTAATGCTGAAAACAATTGAGTGCCTTATTTTTCCCAAGGGAACTTCCAGGTGGAATATTCCTCAAGAGGCAAACACATGGATTCACTACACCTGATGCCATAAAGCCACATGAGAATTGTGCAGATTCCAGTGGTGATTCTTGCTAGGCTGTGCAGCAGACCAAAGCATTAGCATGAATGCCATACTCCAAGGGACAGAGGCATATGATCTTGTGAAACTGTGTTGCTCCCCCAACTCTTTTTGTGTGTGGAACATGATTTCCAATCAGGACCAGCCCCAGACATCTTGGCACCTGGGGCAAACCCTAAAGTGGTGCCCCCTCCCATCAGAGAAGAAGCGATGAGCGAAAATCTAAATCAGGAAGAAGTGGGGAATAAAAATCTACATCGGGAGCAAGGAGGGAACAAAGTCTACATCTGGAATAAGGGGGGCGGGTGAAGATCTACATTGGGAAATGGAAAAATCAAATCAATGTTCTCAACTTCAGTTCCTTGAAGTGGGAATCAAAGGTAATCATAGATGGTAAAGGGGCCTGCTTTGAATCACACCAGGCAGGTGAAGAGTCCAGGAGACCCCAGAGGGCAACTCCTGCCATTTCATCCCTAGGGATGGGAGGAGACAGCATGGAAGCAGCTGATGAAGAGGCGACAGATCCAGCCTCCAAGGAACACACAGCAGTAGCGGCAGCAGGCAATGCATTCCTTGCCTCATGGATGGGTTGTCCTTTCCAATATATATGATTCTCCCCTAAACTGCAAAAGCAGTATTGCCTGTATCTCCTGTCCGAACACAGCCCATCATTTACTGCATCACCAAGGTCTTTAAAGCTATGTCTGTTGGTCCAACAGCCTATGTCTATGTTATACCAGTTACGTATGTTCACTCCTGAAGAGGGAGTCAATTGAATGAATCATTATTGTGGCAAGTTTTCTGTATCCCAGCCTGCATTTTTTATGATAAGGAAGCTACATCCTTTGTTATCCATGATCTGGGGTGGCCAGTTTGACCAATGAATCTGCCACAACATTTGGAACTACCAAACAAAAAAACACAGATGGGCTCCTAGATATGATACTGAAGATCAGATATGAAAGGTTAAATTAGGCTGACTTAGAGCTGTAGGATAAGCCTGAGATTCGTCCAATGAGAAAATTAGTTCAATGCATTGCAGAAAGGTATTTTAAATACTTCAAGGCTACAAAGTACTGACATTTAAAAGTTAGAGGACACCATTGCAATAAAAATGCTAAGTTATTTACACTAAAATAAAGCAAAGTAACCTTTGAAAGCAATTTATTGTAATCATGTATATAAATACCTTGCCTTAAGGTAAGTTTTAAAAATGCATATTTTGTAAAAGTTAACAACCGTTGTTCACTCTTGATAATTTAAAAATGACTTTTAATTTTACTTTTATGCCCAGTTTTGCTAAAGAAAAGTATTATTGCAATTATAAAATATATAAAACTTGCCATCACACCTTAGACTATTAAAAAATGTATAATAAATTAAATTAAACTTATGAGGATGCATATTTATATGACCTCATGCATTTATAAACCCCTTTCTCTGTCAAATGACACTAGTAGAAACCAGATTTGAAAATCTATATTTGCATGGTCCTCTACAGCAAGTGAGATATACCGCTAAGTAATTGGGTACAACCAGGCCTTTTTTCCAGCTGGAACTCACTGAGCAATTATCAACATATAAGAGGCCAAAACAAAGGAACTCTTCAAAATATCCTGCAAAAACACACCCCAATGTCTGTTTAGAGATAAGTTAATCTATGTTAGGAACATAAAATGTGTGGACAAGCCGAATCACAATAGTACTACTACCTTCTGCAAAGTGTTTGCCCCCACATTCTGCTTCTTTAAAACAATCAATTCTAACACTGAAATGCCTTGTAGTTGATTATGGCTTAGCATTTATGTACATTGATAGCAGTAGCTTTATGCAACAAAAAATATGCTTCTTACCATAGTGAGGGATGATTGCCCAGGCCATGGCGGATGCATAGATGCCCCCAATCATCCAAAACATGCAAAGCCAACTTAAGTGTTCTCCACGTTTTTCTCGAGCAAGAACTTCAGCAAAATAGGAGAATACAACTGGAACAGCTCCTCCAATCCTAATTGAAGACACAGAGTATAAATTGAATACAACCATAATAGAAACTATGAACAAGCACTGTCTTTATTTGTGTCTTTAATGGGTGGCATGCAAAACAACTATTTCACTACACCAGCCTTGTGTGTATGTAACACAAAGTTATGGTTTGTCTAGTCAAAGTGTGGTTTGCTTCAGTGTTCGAACTCAGCCCAGCACATTAACCATTGTTTATTTTCTAGCAACCAACAATAAGGTGAAGTGTTTGTTTTGGCTTACAAACCATGGTTTGTTTTGTCTAGTTTGGCGTTTTGACTGAATGCAATAACTTGTCTACAGTTTGGCGTTTTGACTGAATGCAATAACCTTGCTTGATCATGGTTTATTTGACAATCCCACCCCAGACGCTCACCAAGCTACAGTGACATGAGGTAAGAGCATTGTGGGGGACCCAGCTTGCTGGAGAAATGAGACATGGTTTGCTTTTTCCTCTGTTTGAAGATTTGAGGCTTGTTGAAATTAACTTAGCAAAGAAGAGAAGCAAGAGAAACAGGCTTAAAACAAATCATGCCTTTGCAGCTTGGGAGAACACAGCCCCTAAATCTTTTGGTGCAGTTATGACTCAGGATATAGGCAAAAAAATTCAAATAATGTCTAAGAATTATTGGACTAAACTCTGTTTAAGAAAGAAACTATACAGTTTAGTTGTTATTGCATGGTCCTCTGTTGCATCAGGGTGTTCTTAGACCTCATATGTTGAATTTAAATGCAGAAGGCAACACAATCTCAATGGTTAAATCATTCTCTCTTAATGAACTCTATCATTCAAAACTGTAGAAATGTTGAAAGGTTATAATATATTGTACTATTTCTCACATCGTTTGGGTGAAATTTCCTCCAGTTTATTTTTTAAATTCAGTGGGCAAGTGCAGTGCAGTTGGCACCTAAGCACTTTTATTCATTACTACTATGTTACTTCTGAGTTTCTGTCATCACTATACAGGAACTGATAAGCAGCTCCCACTCTACATAAGCTGTTCTTCACATCTAAAATTAAGCCTTTGATTACCATAAGCTTCTGATTTCTGATGTCAGTAGTGACCATAATACTTAAAAAGACATGAATCAGGACTGGGACTGCATTAAACATTTACCGCTGTATATCTGAGGAGCTTTTGCTATTTTCTGTTTTAATATTTAGTATATTTCATGTACCATTCAGCTGATCAAATTATTACTCCAGAGCCACTTTAAAAACGATAATGTAGGGGTATCTGATGTAATGTGTTGGGTTACTATGTCTGGACATCCCTGACATTGCTGTTTTTAGAGGTTTTCAATTGGTCACATCCATACCATACATTCAGAGCACGTCTTCCCCAAAGAAGCATGGGAATTGTATTTTACCCTTTACTGAGCCACAAATCTCAGCACACTTAACAAACCACAGTTCCCAGGATTCTTTGGGGGAAAGCTACATGCTTTAAATGTATGGTGTGGATGTGGCTGACATTTGTAAATTTCCTTGACACACACGTAGAAGGCAATTCATAAATAAATAATAAAAAATGGCAATGTTTGCTAGGGTTTAGGGGAGTTGGCGTCCAGTAACATCTGTAGAGTAGCATAGTATTAGGTAATGGAGTTTTCCCATGGTTTTCCTATTGAAAATCAACTCTCCAAGCAGGCATTTGCAGCACCTTTTGGGGGCAATTAGCAAGTTAAAGCAAGCAGCTTTCAGTAGACAGGGGTGGACTTTGGTAATATGGTGCCCTGAGAATGGACAATTTTTTACACCCCCACCTAAGGATTTCTATTTTTCACAATGATTCCTTTTGGTACAGTTGGTACTGATTACTGAATACTTCAAAGTGTGTCTTGGCTCTCTGGGACTAACTTATTGTGCAAAAGGGATGAGTTCCTTTGCACTGTTATCGAGACCCTGGCTGACCCAACGTTTGAGAAAGTACTCCTGCATTATTTTATACAAGATTGGTTCATGCACTTGGAAAAGTATGCATGGATGTCCCTTTTTGCAAGATTTTGTACTCTGCTGCAGTTCATAAACACAAAACACACACGCATACTACATTACTCTGTGGTTTTTAGCAAAAACATTGCATAATCAAAGACCAAAGCAATGTGTGTTCCGCCCAGAAAGAAATCACCCCATTCCTTCCAAACTCTGCAAATTGACATTAGAGAAACAGAATGATTCCTGAAAAGAAAATGGTCAGAAAAAGAAAGGGTCCTGGTGTGTGTATGCTTGTAAAGATAGATCAGAATTTGCCACAAGGGACAAAAAGGGACATTTCTCAATGCTCTTTGTGGGGTAGGCATCTTAAACAATCACTACTACAAAATAGGCATATACCCTTCTTTAAGCTGTAACCCATATCCCTGCTACTCACTCTCTGTAGTGAAGGTTAGTATAATGAAAAGACTTTGGAAGCAACTTTTATCAGCTATGTCAGGGAACTACTATCAGCTCAGAGACGAGAGGTGGAAGGGCAGTTGTGTTATAGGGAACCTTCGAAAATCTTGCGAAACAGTTCCTTCTCTGGCGAGGAGGAAACCCCCACCTCTAGTGGAGAGGAGGTGCAGGGACCAGGGGATGCTAGGGAGAGCCTCAACACCGAGCCTGAGCAAATAGGAGAGGAGGGAAGTACCCCTTTGCCAGCGCCCATTTTGCGCAGTAGGTTTCGGTGAAGGGAGGGGTGGAGAAGGTTGGGGGTCACGCGATTGTTATGCTGGGGAAGGTACAAGAACCGACCACTTCCAGATTCTGCTAGCGATTCAGCCAGACATGAACTTACGACGCTCTTCACTGTAAATAGTTAGCACTAAGAATAAAGCCTGGAAAAGACAGGTCAGAGTCTTGCCTGTTTGCTCTCAAGCAACCACATCAGCATCTGACAAGCTATGATAATTAGATAGAACCCTGATGTTCATAAACAATGTATCTTTGCATACAAGATATTGGGGAGAATGAAATGGGAGAGAAAAGCTGCTCTCGTGCCTTACTTGTAAGCTTGTCAGATGGCATTTGACTGACAAGCGTGGTAACAGATTGTTGGACTGGATAAGGGAACTAGGGTCCCAAGAGGCTGTTGGACTCTACCTCCCATGAGCCCCAGCTAGTATGGCCATGATCAGGACTGAAGTCCAATAACATCTTCCCAGATGGGGTTACAAGTTCCCGATCCCTGCACTAATGCTTTGATCTGATCTGATCTGATCCAAGAAGGTTCTTCTCATTCATAACATTTCATGAAAATTTGTCCATCAGTGTGTTTGACAATCCCTGCTAGAACCCCTATGGTTTTGTGTGCCACAGAAGTTCTACCAAGAATTAGTGAACACAATGATTGTCACATTTTGCAAAATCTGATAACCTCCAAACTACTTCTCAGCAGTTCCCTCCAACCTAGTGCCAAAATTATCTTTTCTATTTCCCTCCTTCCTTCCTTCCTTCCTTCCTTCCTAGCTCAGCTTTGGTTTGTTATTCAGAAAACCCAATGCATATGTACACAATTTATCATTTATCCCCTTTCCATTTTCTGCAAGCATCAGCAATATGCAGCCAAAACAGCAGTTACAGATAACATTATTCAGTCATATCCACACTAGACATTGAAAGCACCTTTATACAATTTTAACAGACATTGAGAATTTGGGAATTGTAGGTCTGAGAGGTCAGCACCCTTAGCAAACTACAATTCCCAGGACCTTTTGGGGGAAGCCATGAAAGTTAAAGTGGTATAAGGGTGCCTTAAATGTATGGTGTTTCTGTTACCTTATTTAAGAAGACATTCTCCAATAATTTTTTATATTCGAATCACCCCTGTTTATCTAACACAAAAGTATATCTTATTAATAGTTGAAACTGATTTGCTAAGCAGTCTAAACTTATAATAGTGGAATATTTTCTTCACATAAATTATATTTTTTCCAATTCAAAATCCTGCTCCAAGGCACAGCTGTCTATTCTATTTGTACATTACTTGAGGCAAACTATAATGTTTGAAATCAAATGTCCTCCCCTGCTGCAATTTTAACAACTACTTCAATCTCACTGTTACCACCCTTGAGAAATTACTTTACAATGTTATAATATTTTCAGATATGTCAGTATTCCACACAAATCTTTAAGCAGTTGAACAAATCAAGGTATCACACTGGATGGAAAGAAAGCAGTAACTTCTAAATATTTTGGGACTCAAGTACTTAAAAGAGCACTTCCCCCAACACCAACCATCTTGGATCTTACACTCAGCAAGTGAGATTTCATTGGTGGTGGTGCCACCAATGTGACAGGGCCTTTTCAGTGGCGGTTCCCCATTTGTGGAATGCCCTCCCTGGTGAAGTGCACCTGTCTCCCTTATTATATATATATAATATATAATAAGTTATATATATAACTTCATTAGATCCCTTAGACCTATCCAATTACCGCCCAGTTTCAAATCTTCCATATCTGGGTAAGGTAATTGAGAGAGCGGTTGCTGAACAACGTGGTAGGTTTCTGGAGGAAACATCGGCTTTAGATCCATTTCAGTCCAGTTTCCGTCCTGGTTTTGGGACTGAGACGGCTCTGGTTGCCCTAACAGATGATCTCCGTAGACAGCTGGATCGAGGCGGGTCAGGACTGGTGATCCTTTTAGATTTGTCAGCAGCCTTTGACATGGTCGATCATGATCTTCTGGACCACCGCCTCACAGATGTGGGGATACAGGGCATAGCCCGTAACTGGCTGTGCTCTTTTATCTCTGGTCGGGGACAGAGGGTGGCACTAGGGAGGGAAATGTCGTCGCGCCACTCCTTGGTGTGTGGAGTGCCGCAGGGCACAATCCTCTCCCCAATGCTTTTTAACATCTTTATGCGCCCCCTTGCCCAGATTATCCGGAGCTTTGGGCTGGGTTGTCACCAATATGCTGATGACACTCAGCTCTATCTGCTGATGGATGGCCACACCGACTCGGCCCCGAACACACTGACCAGATGCTTGGAAGCTGTGGCTGGATGGTTTCGTGGGAGCCGATTGAAACTAAATCCTTCGAAGACAGAGGTCCTATGGCTGGGTCGGGATGGCATGGGGTTGAGGGACCAACTCCCTTCTCTTGCGGGGGCCCAATTAGTGCCATTGCCTTCCGTTAAGAGTTTAGGTGTAATCCTTGACGCCTCTCTTTCCATGGAGGCGCAAGTTACAGCAACAGCCAAGGCAACATTTTTCCACCTTCGCCGCATCAAGCAGTTGGTCCCTTACCTTTCCCACCCCAACCTGGCCACAGTGATCCATGCGACGGTCATCTCCAGGCTTGACTACTGTAATTCGCTCTACGCGGGGCTGCCCTTGAAGCTGACCCAGAAACTCCAGCGGGTACAGAATGCTGCAGCGAGGCTCCTCACGGGGTCTCTGACATGGGAGCATATTCACCCAGTGCTTTTCAAGCTGCACTGGCTCCCGGTGGAATACAGGATCAGATTTAAGGTGCTGCTTTTGACCTTTAAAGCCCTTCACGGCCTAGGACCCTCATACCTACAGGACCGCCTCTCCCAGTATGCCCCACGGAGAGCCTCAAGGTCCATAAATAGCATCACCCTAGTGGTCCCGGCCCCTAAGGAAGTTAGGTTGGCTTCAACCAGAGCCAGAGCCTTTTCAACTCTGGTTCCGGTCTGGTGGAACGCTCTGCCTCATGAGACCAGGGCCCTGCAGGATCTGATTTCTTTCCGCAGGGCCTGTAAGACAGAGTTGTTCTGCCTGGCCTTTGGCTTGGAGCCAATTTGATTCCCTCCCTCTCTTTCTTTTTTCTTTTCCTTCTCCTCCTGCGATGAGGCTACATTTTAATATTTTAATGTTTCAATATATTAATGTTGTATTTTTAATTTTGTTTTTAAGTTGTAATCATTTAACTTGTTTTTATTATTGCTTGTAAGCCGCTCTGAGCCTGGCCTTGGCTAGGGAGGGTGGGGTATAAATAAAAATTATTATTATTATTATTATTATTATTATTATTATTATTATACATTATTTGGGGACTGTAACTTACTACTTTTCTATTTTATTTATTTATATTGTGTCATAAAATATGTTAAATTTAGTGTAAAATATTAAAAGTATACTCAGCTCTCTGCATCTATCACCATTGATAATAATGCAAGGTGGTTAAATCCTAAGCTATGCAGTGTGTGAATTTCTAAATGGATTGTTTTGACATTTTTCTTTCAGGCATACAGTGACAGATGTGCAAGTGTAATTTTCAGCCAAGCCATGCCACTTTAAGTACCCCAATGTGAATCAAAGGAAAACAATATTCACTTTTTTTTAACCACTGACCCCTTCTTTGCATGGACTTTATCCATACAGGGCACCCTCACAGTGCAACAGGCTAGAGTCTGGACAGCGAGGCACAAGAGCAAATGCAGATTGAGAAAGTCTGAGTAAACACAAAACCCAACCACAATACAGTGGTACCTTGGTTCTCAAACTTAATCTGTTCTGGGAGCTTCCTGCAGTCGAGCAGAAGCCATGTCAGATGTTTGGTTCTGAAAAACGTTCACAAACCAGAACACTTACTTCCGGGTTTGCAGCGTTTGGGAGCCAAAACATGTGAGTACCAAGGTGTTCAAGAACCAAGGTACGACTGTACCCTCAGTCGTTCTTTGGGCTCTTGACAGCAGGATGGGAACAACAATGAACAAGCTTTTCCCCAGAACAGGGAAAGGTAAAGTTAAATTAGAAAATGAAAGGAATAAAGGAAGAGCTTACCCAAATCCAGAAAGTAAACGACAGAAGAGAAAGAAGCCATAGCCCTGGACAAATGATGAAAGGAAGGCAAAGAATCCATTGACAGACATACATATGAGAAGAGACTGTCTCCTTCCCACCTTGTCTGCCAAGCCTCCCCAGAAGAATGCCCCCACCATCATCCCAAGGTATACTATGCTACCTGCAACACACAAAAGAGAATATGTTACATTAGGAAGGATTGCATAGTTCTCAATATCAACTCCTAAGTCACTGTTCCTCCTCAACTCCCACACATGGCACAATTTACTTGCAAAACAACTATGTACATTTACTGTAGGTGAGTAATTTGAATACAGATTTGCAAAGTGAAAAAACCACTCCTCTCATATGCATCCTTTGTTTCTGACTTACTGAAAATTTGGTACTTTTTTAGTTATAGGCACACAGCTGCAAGAAAGTAAAAGAAAAGGCAAGCAAATCTGGGGGTTGAGAGGTTTATATCCTACCTTTTCTTGCAAGGAGCTCAATATGGTGTAAATGGTCCCCCCACCCACCCATTTTGTCCTCAAAACAACCCTGTGAAGTTGACTGAGGGACTGTGCCTGGCTCACTGTCACTCAGTGAGCTTCATAGCTGAGCAGAGATGTGAACCCTGGTCTCCCAGATCCCAGTTCAACACTTGCCACCACACTGGCCCTATCCATCTTTCCACTGCAACATCCATGCTAGGTAGAGACATTATTACAGTTCAGGGGGACATTAAGCTGGGGGGGGGTGTAAGCTGGAGCAGAGCCAGTGAGGGATGTGAGCTGAGGAAAGTCCCAAGAGCCAGTGGCGTAGCGTGGGGGGTGCAGGGGGGGCCGGCCGCACCGGGCGCAACATCTGGGGGTTAGGGTTAGGGGGCGCAAATCCACGGGTTAGGGGGTGCAAATTACTTGCCTTGCCCCGGGTGCTGACAACCCACGCTACGCCCCTGCCAAGAGCCAGACAGAGTGGCCAGGGGGGCCATATTTGGTCCCAGAGCCTGACGTTCCCTATCCCTGCTACATAGCATCTCCTACCCAGAATTTTTCCATAAACAGTGGGCTAAAATTAGTTATGTGGATAAATCAATACCATGCAATTAACTAATGCAACTACGTTGCAGGAAAACTTTGTTATCAACAGGATTATTTTCCAAATCATGTGTGCGCTCTCAGAATGTGACCCTTTAAAATGGTTTCAGAAACTAGGATTATTTAAATTGCTTTAATAACAAAAGGGAGGAAATGAACAAGAGAGGATCAGATTTCTATATGCTGGGAAACTTGATAGGTCAGTGTACAAAACTCACTACAGATCATGCTTGCTTACAGCTGTTTTCTCTGATAACAGTGCACATTATAGTAATGACTCTGCAGCTTTATCGCTTGTGCTTCAAGAATATTTGAATTTCAATAAACATGCCTTTAAAGAGGGGGGCTCCAAAAGTCCAAGGATGCAGCCAAACCAACCATATAAAAGTATGTTTGTGTATATATACATTTATTTTGTTTATTTATAAAAATATTTATAGACTGCCCCTTTATATAAATTATCAGGGTAGTATACAAGAAAATTGATGAGTACTATAAAACATTGAACAGGCTGCTGGCATAAAAAGATCTTCAAGAGGCATCTGAAACATATAGTAGCAAAACTATTGCACAGCATGGAACTGGTAAAAGTACATGGCTGGCTTCTAGTTGAAGCTAGCTGGGCTTCTGAAACACAGAAGAATGGGAACTAACAGTGCTTGTCCACATAATCTCAGAGACTGAATTGGAATATAAAGGCTCAGGAGGTCACTAGGTATACACACAACTATATATATATGTATATGTATATGTATATATATGTATATAAACACACACATATGCATATGTGTTTATGTGATAAATATGCATGTTCATACATGCATGTGCACATACTCTTTATGGCATTTTAAAATAATTTTTACCTGCCTTGTTATCCACCAGCTCCACATTGCCTGATATTTGGAAACTGAAATGGTGGCACACAGAATACAATGCATACAAGACCAATATATCTAATTATTAATAGGGGGTTGCCCTGATCCCTTCTATGCATTGTGTTCCACTCCAAAATGACTTACAAATCAGAATCCAAAGTGGCCTTAAAATGAGGTGGGTGAGAGCTATTCTAATCCCACACTGTGAATAAGTTTGGCACAGATAAAGCCATATCTGAATGAACAGTTTATTGATTTAAACACACACAATGCCACACTTCAGTCTCTTCCCTACTGCTCAAGTAGCCAAATTAACAGGTAGTTAAGAGACTATAACATTTAATTGGATGGACACAAATATTGATTTATGTCCAACTTTTTACAATTAAGACAACTGCAGAACAGTAAAAATAGTATTTTTGTCTCTATTCTCACCCTGAGCGTAAAAGAAAAACCACCCCCTACTACTATAAAAATGAGATCCTATGATGCAGCAACTACAGAACAGGGTTATTGAAAACCTAGTTAATCCCAGGTAATGATATGAAGTCACTGATGGATTGCTTTAGTACTAGCGCTGAACGTATTATTTTGAAGGTATCTTCTCTTATCCGATAGTTCCCTCTGGCATTAGAGCGAAAATCCTAACTGACAAGCCTGAGATAAAGCCTACTTTGTTAAGTCTTTGTAATGCCTCTAATGCCTGGTTTCACTTTTCTCTGAAACTGAGGTGCCTCTGATACGTTTTCTCCCTCTCAGACTTTTGATGTGAAATACAGCAACAGCATTCACGTAGTTCTCAATCGACCCTGTCATGGTAACAAATTGGTGTGACTCTGCAATTTGAAATGCACTTTTTATGGCAATACTCCAATCTCAGAGTGATTATGAATGGTGCATGTGACTGAACAACACAATGTGTTTCCCATGCAATGTTCTGGGATTAATTCTTCTCACAAACAAAAACCCTACAGCCAGTAATTGGCCATAGGATCACTCTACAGTCATGTCTCTACATCATATCAGAAGCCCCTGTTTGGCAAACAGGGAAAATTCTGGATGAAGGACCAGCATGTTCAGGGGCTGGCATGACGACAACTTTCTGCTGACAATTGTCTCTTCCTACAATGCTTTCCCACCTGTGAGTTGCGGAAAAGTAATAGTGGCTTGAATCCCAACAAAGGCAGCATAGACACCAATAATTAAAAGCTCCCCCCACTGCAAAAAATCCTGTGAAATGTAGTTTGTTAATGGTGCTGGGAGTTGTAGCTCTGTGAAGCATAAACTACAGTTCCCGAGATTTGAGGGGGGAGGTAGGTGTGTGCGCTGCCAAAGCTGGCAATAGCATGATATTCAGTGTATTAAATGTGTCAAAAGTAATAGAAAACTTTTATTAGGTGACTAGCTGTATGAGATAAAGAAGCATCTTTGCATAAGCAGCCAACTTGGCTGTCTCTGATGCAAAAAAAATGAGCTTTTAAAAATGTTGCCTGATTTTGCGGGGTGGGGGAGAGATCTTTGTGTTCTCTTATGCCAACAGAAGTTGGGTCTAGTAAACGCTGACACATTCATTTTCATCAAAGAAAAAAATCATTCCAGCACAAGCAAACATGGGATTTCCTTAGCTATCAAAATGTGCTCCTCTAGGGAAAATAAAAAAATATTCACTGGATCTGAGGTCGTAATCCTTGGCCTCAGTAAGACAAGCAAGCAGTATAATCCAAAGAAGCAAAATGCACTGGGGATCATTCACATTTCAGGGTAGAGCACATAAAGCAGGAGAAATTAAATGTAGCACTGTGGCAATCATCCTGCCAATGCAAGCTTTTCAGCTTGCCAGATGGAATTATTCACCTCTCTGCCCCTGCTGCTTTGGGATTTCCTCTGACCCCACCCCAATTTTGGGAAGGTGTAGGCAGAGTCCCGTTGTGCTACTGGGATACATTAGTTGAATCCCAGTATGTTTCTTAGGATGTATATATTGAGGTAGCTCATCTAAATGAATATAATGCCACATTGCTGTCTTACATCTCATCCTTTTCTGGAAAAAAAAAAATCACCTCATCCCTTGACAGAACTTTCTTTTTTTTAATCAATTCCTTTCACTTAAAATATCTGTTCTAGACCAAAAAGTGCCTACCTGAAGATTTCAAGCATGGCATTTTGAAGCACTGCCTATTTATACTGTGGAGCAGTGAGAAATGGAAGATCCATAGCTCAGTGGTAAGAACAGATGCTAGAGGTCCTGTATTCAAGTTACTGCCACTCTCATCAGGTAGCAAGCATGGGAAAGACCCTGACCTGGGATCCTAGAATACCACAGCCAGTCAGAGCAGATGAGCTAGATGGATAAACAGACTGACCTAGTATAAGGCACCTTCCAATGCTAAAAACATCATCCAGTCCTCAGTGAGCCTTTCAATTCCCCATGAAAAAGAGGGTTGAAGCCTCAAACATTTCAGCTTCTCCATTTTGAAATGGGAGTATATACACATTAATGGCTTAAAATGTGGCAATGTTGTTTCCCTCAGCTGCGTTTGAAGTCATATTTGCATGCCGCTGTAGACATCAGAGAGAGGGCTGGGGTCTCTTCACCAGATGCACATTAGGGCTGTGCAATAAATTGCCATACCCTTGAGTATTGAAATAACATTGTGATAAGTAGTTCAACAAGGCAATATACTTGTGAACAAAAGGTGGACACATAACAGCTTCCGGGGGTAGCTCAGCTGAACAGGTACTTTACAGATAATTTGCAGGCACAGTGTCTCCAGCTCTGTTTGCTCTCTCCCTCCTAACCCCTAAGCCCTCACATAAACCAGCATCTTCACTGGGTACCTTTCCACTTAGAGCTCAGCTAAGTATGCAGAGCCTGCTAAAAATCCAGGTGGGACCCCCCACAGCTAGACAATCAAAGAGGCAAAGTAAACAAAGAACTGGGAAGTGGAATGAGGGCTTTTGGGGGGTCCCTTCTGGGGGGGAGGAACGGAAGGGAGAAGATTTAGCTGGCTACCTAATGCTGAAATGGGAGGTTGTGAGAATGATGGGGAGGGTGTTTTTCGGTAAGCAATGCAAGCAAATGAGTGTCTACTCACAAGCATGCCCTACCAGTGGCGTAGCGTGGGGGGTGCAGGGGGGGCCGGCCGCACCGGGCGCAACATCTGGGGGTTAGGGTTAGGGTGCGCAAATCCACGGGTTAGGGGGCGCAAATCCACGGGTTAGGGGGCGCAAATTACTTGCCTTGCCCCGGGTGCTGACAACCCACGCTACGCCACTGTGCCCTACTGAATAAAGCAAGGCTTATTACCAGGAAAGTAGAAGTTTAGTTGAACTCAGTGGGACTTATGCATGCACAGGTTGTACGTAGACCTCTGAATGGGGAAGCAGATGCAACTTGACTAGTAAATTACTTAAACTACTCTTAAATTGGTTGGAAATATATTAAATATAATATATGGAAGTTTATTTAATATTTGTATTAAATCTACTACTTCTTTACCATTTAAGGCCCTCCTCTGCCGCAGGAAGCCTCGTTAAGGCCCTCGGCTGCTGTGAGGAAGTGTAGCGCACCCTCCGCCATTGTGGGGAGGTATGGCAGGACCCTCTGCCACTGCAGAGGTGTGGCAAGGCTCTCTGCTGTGGGGAAGCCCAGTGCACGCTCCACCGCTGTGGGGCAGTATGGTGGGTCCTCTGCTGCCAACATAGATATATGCATATATCAAGATATATCAAGATATTGTGATATTTAGCTGGTGATATATCGTGATGTTGAAAATCAGATATCTTCCAGCCCTAATGCACATTACCTGATTTGTTTTTCTGTACCTGCAACACCTGAACTGAAAGTTGTTATCTGCACATGCACAAAGGCTGTCTGAAATGTACACACCTCAGTTTATTCACAGCTTGCATTTTCAAATTAGATGGAAGCTCATTTGAGGAGAAACACATCAAAGGAGTATTTCTTGAAAAAATGCAAGACACAGGTAGATTGTGGGCAACTCAGCTTCAAAAAGAAAGCTGTGGGAGTGCACTGGAGCAAACGGTAATATGCATATAGCATGAGAGTGAATTAATATGACAAAAGGAATGGAATACACGTTAACAATTGCTATAGATGTTGTTGGACTCCAATTCCCATCAGCCACAGCAAGCATGGCCTACGCTTAGGGGTGATGGGAATTGAAGTCCAACAATTTCTGGAGGGAACCATATTGGCTACCCCTAGTCTAGAAGCAACTAGAAGCTGAAGCAAAGTGGGCAGGGACCTGAAATATCTCTTTGGTGGGAGGCAACCAGGTGTCCCATAAGAGTATAGATAGTATGAACATTTGCCCTCTAGCATATTTTATTAATAAATGTTTTTATATGTGTGACACATTTTCTTCCAAAAGAGGCTTTAAGTCTCAGAATTTGGAATTCCCAGGAGCTGCGAAAATCAAATACACAAGTTCAGCATCTTGATAGATGAGGTCTTGTAAACCATGATTTATCTATCGTGCAAGATTATCGAAACATGATGCCTGTGGAGAGCTCAATGATGTGTTAAAGATCTTCAGCTTTGTTTCAAAAGTAGATGTGACACCTAATGATTTAAACTGTGATGTATTTTCAGCCAAAGAAACCCAGACTGCTGAGGTGCCCACACACACAAAAATGAAGACAGAGACCTAATTAAATGTGCAAAGTCAACAAGGCTTTTTTCAACATATTTGCATTTCTATGAAACATGACCATTGGTTAATGGTATTATAATTAAAGTAGTACTAGAAGGTGGGAGTTTGATACTGGCATAGAGCAAATGAAATTTTGTGCAAGTTACATATCACTGGAGTGGGAAAGCAAGTAGTTCGTTCTTACTCAATTGCAGAGATGGGGTGTTTCCCCTGGTAACACCGTACTACACAGATTTGTATTTACTTATAATCCACTTGTCCAGTGCTTTTTTCTGAGGGGATGCAGGGGTACACATACCCCTAAACATTTTGTGAATCTAAGTTTGACCTCATTGAGGGGCAGTATTTCAATATGAGTAGGAAAATGAGAGTACCCCTAAACCTTTTTTAAAGAAAAAAAGCACTGCACTTGTCTCCCCAAGGGAAATGTCCAAGCTGCTCATGAAAAAGGCACAACATTGTCTAAAAACTGCAATATAAAATCAGTATAATCAAATACCAGAGAAAAGGAGAATAATTACATAAAAACAGCTAAATGGGAATATAACCACATCCAATGAAAATGTTATACTCTGGTGAGAAAGAGACAGATTATCCTTTTTTCAGAAAAGCAAAGGCAGGGGTTTTTTGGGGGGGGGGGGGAACTGCTCATGATGTGTATATGCACCTTTCTGTTATTTCACAGAGTTTGGTATTGATTTAAAACACTGACGGGAAACCTTGTCTTCCCATATGTTGTTGGACTACTTCTTCCATTATCCCTGAGCACTGGCCATGCTGACTAAGGCTGATGGAGCTGGAGTCCAACAATATTTTGAGGGCCACAGGTTCCTCGCCCTTAATTTAAAGACATGTTTTACAAATGTTAGCATTGGGGCCAAACTCACTATGAGAAACAAAGCATCTCTCAAGAAAAACCATCTCCAGCCTTAGTAGCTATGGTTTTGCTTTATGCACTGAGAAGCACAAACATGTGTTCCGTTTCTCCAGCCCAACTTCTGGACAGAATGGCTCAATGCAACGCTGAACCTGCCCTAAAGATATTTGGTAGCAAAGCGCTTACTCAAATGCTCTCTGATTCAAACTCCATTAAAGTCTTGAAAACTGTGCAGAATAATTGTTTTGGGAAAATATACTGTCTACCATCAGGAATATCAGCAGCTTTTCATACAGAATCCAGGTGGCCAACAATTAAGACAAGAGCAAACTGAACTCAGTTAAAGTATATCTTTAAAAATTGCTACTATGCCTATTGAGTGTTTTCCTGCTATATGAAATAGCGGATGATAACCAGCTATGGACAGCAGCTTGCCAATTATCTTTTGGACTATTATTATTTTACAGAACCGTGCTCCGTTTGACCCTGAATAAGAGACAACTAAGGGATAGCTCAGTTGGTAGAATATAATTTCAGGGTCATGGGTTTGAGCCCCACATTGGGCAAAAAGATTCCTGTATTGCAGGGAGTTGGACTAGATAAGCCTTGTGGTCCCTTCCAACTCTACAATTCTAGGGATTGGTTGTACTGGATAGAATTAGAAACACTCACTCACTAGTGAATCCCCCCCCCCACCATGAACAGTCATTTTGTAATTGCACACCATTTCAAGTACTTTTGTAACACATCTCTGAATTATACATGCACAAGTCCCATTGAAACAAACCGAGCTGAGATTTCTCAAAACAGATTTTTCTGAGAAAATTTCTGGAATTTCCTTTTTCTTTTTCACACACCCCACCCCTTGAAAAAAAGCAAATGATATTCTCCAATAATATTTTTTGTTACTGCCACCATTATTCTTCCAGAATGACAATGGGGCCAGGAGGATGCAAAATGGCAGCCAGGTTGCCAAGACACTTGGCTGCAGCTGCCACTTGTAGTGTCAGAGGGAGAGAGTGACAAAGTCGAGCTACTGCCATTACTAATGGAAAGCCCCACTCCCAGAGAAAGTGTTCAATAATTTCTCCTCCTCCAGGTCCACCACCACCACCAATTTCTTTGCCTACAACTACAATAGATAATTTTGAGAGGCCACTTGCACCCAGTTCTATTCAAACACTCCTAATGATGAGGCTCCTTCTTCCATCTCTTTGTTACACGGTATTGACATGTATTCTTGATACTAAGCTATGCAGCATGTTATCAACGTATTATATTTATTCTGGATTCATAAGCCTGTGGTTTTTTTGTCCTATGATTTAGGAACAGCTACTTATTTTTATTGGTCATGACGAAGGGCAGAGGAAAATCTTTTCTTTTTACACATACAACAAAACAAAAGAGAGCCATGGTGGTATCTTAAAATACATTTTATGAGCCTCACATGCAGCGCTAACAAAGCAAATTTAGTTATTTGTTTTCATCAGAGGGAGCACTGTCAAATCCATACTAGACAATATCTGTCTAATTTATGACACAAGCCAGGCGAGGATGTAAATAATACTCACCAAGCCATCCTGATCCAGAATTAGGGATACACATGTCTGTCTCAGCACTGGGCAATACAAATCCAACCACAAAAACTTCCACCCCGTCAGCCATCAGCGCCATCCCAAGAACAAAGAAGAGGGCCCACTGAAAACGTCCATGCCCACATTCCTGAATGATGAGCTCATACTGCTGTGCCAATTCTTCTTCATCAGCTTTTCTCTCCGTTTCCAGTTCAAGACGATCTTTGTAGTCGTCTCGTACAGGCTGACCTAAGGCTCCAATTCCATCCTTGTTCTGAGTCGCATTTGGGATTCCCTGATATTCCCCCTCATAAATCTCATCATCTTCGTCATGCCCTTCAGTCGCGTCACTTGATCCTTCATCTTCATTCGCCTCCCCACCGTAATTTCCTTCTTGGGTATAGTATTCATCATCTTCTCTGCCTTGGAATCTATTGTAAGATCTTTCCGTATATTCGTCTTGAGCCTTCTCTACAACTGCATTCCCTTTCCTCCCTGTCTGTTTCTTGACTACCTTGGCAATGTCCTGAGCCCCTCTCACTAATGAAGTATTATCTTCCATCTTGTAAGCTCCATCCATCTTGTGTTAATCAATGTGTGACTGAACTGATTCCGTGTGCAAGGGAACTATTGTGTGCTGGAGAGCAGCAGCAAGAGACTCCCAAGACACATTCGGTTCCGAAACAAGACCTAGGAGAAGAAAAACAAACACAAGAAAATATTTTATGTTTTGTTTGTTCTGCATAGAATCACAAAACTAAAAAAGAACACAGGATCTACAGTCACCGTTGCTCAAGAGGCAAGACTATCTGCCCACCAGTTCCCCATGGATTAACCCACACTATTGCTAACCAAGAGTGCACCAAAAGCAGAGAACTGGTGCACTGCAGAAAGGCTCCTGCAGAGTAAATAGCTCCTGATGACACAAGGAAGGAACCCGAAAGGGGAAAGCAAAAAACGTTCAGGTATTTTTGCTGGCTTCTCTCATTTACATGCAGTAGCGTCACTTTCCAACATACAGCTTAAAACACATGGGTTTGTGTGTCACGAACATATTACAGATACAAATATGTATTATGAAAGGTAACTGAAGCATTTCCAAAAAGAAAACAGTAGCTTGATATATAGTACTATTTGCTGTTCCTCATTCGTATCAGTCCTGCTGTTTATAATGATGAGCGCTGCTGAATTTTGAAATTCGTCATTTGGAAGACCTAATAACAGCAACTGGTAATGTTTACCTCAAAATACAAGGTGAGGATTACAGCCACATTTCATTCTTAGGCTTGGATTTCAGTCCAAATGGGAGAAGTCAACTTCTTCTTCCTTCCCTTCCTGTCTTATTTCAAATACCCTCCCACTCTCTTGAGAGGGGGAAAGCTCTACCCCCACCCCAGCTCCCTGATCTCTCTTTCCTTCCACCTACCCAGCATGTAGCTACGACTGCAAGGTAGCCACCAGGGGTGCTGGAAAATGTAGTTTCCCCTTTAGTATTTCCCAGGGCTTCTATTTTACAAGTATTGGGGGAGTAGTCCATTTTTCAAAGTGTATTTAGGAATGTAAGCATAATCACATGTTCAATGAATACATCAGAGGGATAGCAAAGCATACATGCTGACCCTACTTCTCTTGACCAAGTGTTCATCCAAACATGTAGAGCACTTGCAGATACAAAATTGTGCACCTTTTGTGTCTTTTCAAGCTTTCAGATCCTTAATTTTAGGGTACAAGAAGATTGCATTCACCGAATGCCCTTCTGTGCATTCATTTAAGGCAATATTGTTGCATAAAACCATTCATCCACCTCAAATAACATGGCACACTGTGGGGATTTGGTTTTTGCTCTGTGAAGAAAAAGTGGGGAACTGCAAGCTTGCATGTCTGATTCATTCCCTGGGGCTCTCCTGCTTACCCCTCCCCTACTACAATCAGGCTTGCAAAAAAGCATTTATTCGCTCCTATCAAAGTCCTGTTTCAAACACCAGAAGGGAATTAACAGAAGGGGGTATGCAGCTGGGAAGGGGAGGGTTTAAAGCATAATTGTTGCAGTGAGGTGGGCCAATCTTCCCAAAGAGTCCATTTGGGGATGGCCAGGTGAACCCTTCCCCCCCCCCACTCCTCAGGGACAATCTGCCAGAAGATCACTCCTATTCTGGCTGTTAGAAAAAAGTTGAAATGCTTTTTTCAAGCCAAATTTTATGCATGTTTGTATGCAGTATTTGTGAGTGTGGCATGATTCCCTCTCTCTCTCTCTCTCTCTCTCTCTCTGTCTCTGTGTGTGTGTGTGTGAGAGAGAGAGAGAGAGAGAGAGAGAGAGAGAGAGAGAGAGATATGCAGGAAAGTGTTCACACTCCATTTTGTGTTGGCTATGCACACTGTTGGCCTATGGCCAACCCCACACCTGCTGTGAAGTCTTCACACTGTCTAAGGATTCCAACTTGTGTTCTTAAGTGTTTCATCTACAGTCGTACCTTGGATCCCGAACACATTGTGAGTCAAATGTTTTGACTCCTGAATGCCGCAAACCCAGAAGTGAGTGTTCCAGTTTGTGAACGTTCTTTGGAACCCGAACATCCTGCAGCCAATCGGAAGCCTCGCATTGGTTTCCGAATGTTTTGGAAGTCAAATGGACTTCCAGAATGGATTCCATTCGACTTCCGAGGTACGACTGTATAAGAAATTAATGACACTTGAAGGCCAACACATAGTGAAGGCAATCCAATTAGAAAGAAAGCCACACGTCTTTACAGGGACTGAGACCTTCCTCCCAAACACTCTTATCACAATGATTTAGAATTCTGCTAAGTCGGGAAAAGGGAGGAATTGCAGCCACACAATAACATTTTCCAATGATTAAGTGATAGTGTATTATGTTCTGAGAGCAGCTCATGAGTGGAACATCTTTGATTTAAAATCTGCCTGACATTTCCCAAAACATCTCATGAAAACGACACTATAAAGAAGGTGACCTCAGCATGCAGAGTTTGCGTTGTGCAATATATCATGTAAAGGTAATGTGATTTTGTGTAATTCGTAACTGAAAGCTTAGCCTGACAAGAAAATGCTGGAAGTCAGGATAGGGAACAAGAGAACTGATTCTATCCAAAGCCTACATATAATACTGATTATTAATTTTGCCTCATATTCCCTCACAAAGCTAAATCACTTTGTGATCCTTCAGCGTTTCATTACAAGCAGTTCTTTCTTCCTGTTCTTCTCTGTTGTTGGGGGGCGAGGGCTGAAATTTTTCAGGAACTGGCAGGGACAGTGCACCTCATTTCCCCACCTGAGGCAAAATGGGAAAGTGCCTTCCACCCTACCGAAGCTTCTTTTAGTTGGTTTGCATGGCAGTGCCTGCAAAGCAGCAGCAACAGATTCCAGCTAGTTCTCACGAAATCTCATGCACTGTGAGAAATTTCTCAAGTTCTCGGCAACATCTCGCAAGAAGCCACCACTGCTGCTGTTGCTGCTTCTCTGCACCCGTGGGGGTGCTGCCTCTTGGATTTCTGTTGCCAAAGGCAGCTGCCTCAGCCCACCTTACGGGCAGCCAGGTCCTGGGAACAGGAGATGTTTGGGGAGGGGGAAATAGTGCTTAACAGAGAAACAACAGAGGCAGCTTCCTGTCCTCCACCCCACACCCTTTTTGGACCTGTTTTTCTGGGTCTGTGAGTGGCAACAGCCTGTAATCTACTCTACAGTGCCTCAAAAATGAGCTGTCATGTGCAGGCTGCCTTAATTTCTAGGGCTCTTTGAGGAAGGAGCAATGCAGTAGAGATGGTCAGACTTCAACACAGGGCCCTTCCAGACAACCTTTTTATTGCATATTCATAATTATCTGTGCTGTGATATTATCAAGGCGTTCCACATTATCCCTCTTTCAATCTTGCTTGTACCTGCAAAACTTGTCACACTGCTTCATTTTCAATCAGTGCTTAACCCATAACTCCCAGACTCCACATTGCAGCTTTGGTTTCCCAAAACTTGAACTTATTTCTTAATACATTTTGTTTGGATAATCTTTGCAAAATTCAGGTAGTGAATACTTAATGTTTTCCCGAGGGGAAGGGTCATCTTTAGGCCCAAAGTGCCTCAGTACTCATGGATGCAAAGTTATAGGCTAGTCTTGCCTGCTTGTACCACACCTGACAATTTAGTATGACTTAGCCAGATATGTGAACTGCCTCCACTAAAAGTATAATATTGAATATTGATATTGAAAACCATATATCGCACTGCCCTAGTATACAGTTCTTAGGATGAAAAGGTGTTTTTCATAAATTGTGTATGAATAAAGGTGTTATGTTAGTATTAAGGGTGTTCTTTCAATATAGTTGGTTTTGAGTTCCCCAAGGTATCAAGCAACAGTAAGCACACTCTCTGTTAATTGTGTGTTCCTTCAGTTACAAAACAGATGCTCTTATGCTTTATCTTATATTCTGATAAGAAGGATGGATAAGAAGGAATCCTCATAAGGACGGCACTTATATGTGACAAATGATACAATATTAATACAATATTAATGTTCAGGTATATGCTGAATCTCTTACAGAATATATGTGATTTCCTAAGATGTTTTTAAGTCACAGGAACAGTCTGAGAACCAGATGTAAAGATGATCTCATTTTATAATTGATGTTATATTTAGTATGTCTGCTGGTATGAATGGATATGAATGTCTGAAGTATGAATGAGAAGCGGATGGTTAGTGGCTCTGAAGAATAAATGAATAAATAAAGTTATTGAATCAAAGACAAAGAACTGCTTAAATTAATTTACAAAGGACTATTGCATTGAAAGGGACGCGGGTGGCGCTGTGGGTTAAACCACAGAGCCTAGGACTTGCCGATCAGAAGGTCGGCGGTTCGAATCCCCGCGACGGAGTGAGCTCCCGTTGCTTGGTCCCTGCTCCTGCCAACCTAGCAGTTCAAAAGCACGTCAAAGTGCAAGTAGATAAATAGGTACCGCTCCAGCAGGAAGGTAAACGGCGTTTCCGTGTGCTGCTCTGGTTCGACAGAAGCGGCTTAGTCATGCTGGCCACATGACCCGGAAGCTGTACGCCGGCTCCCTCAGCCAATAAAGTGAGATGAGCACTGCAACCCCAAAGTCAGCCACAACTGGACCTAATGGTCAGGGGTCCCTTTACCTTTACCTTATTGCATTGAAGGTGGAAGAGTTTGGATTTGATATCCCGCTTTATCACTACCTGAAGGAGTCTCAAAGCGGCTAACATTCTCCTTTCCCTTCCTCCCCCACAACAAACACCCTGTGAGGTGAGTGGGGCTGAGAGACTTCAAAGAAGTGTGACTAGCCCTTCCCACGCTGGAGGAATGGCAGATGAAACTTATGGACTATATGGAATTGGCGGAAATGACTGGTAGAATCCGTGACCAGGGAGAAGAGTCGATGGAGGAAGATTGGAAGAAATTCAAAGACTATCTTCAGAAACACTGCAAAATTAAGGAATGTTAAAGTGATGTTGGATTGAAAATAAGTGGTTTCCAGCTGTACAGGTTAAAGCTAAGGATAGATTAAGATTAAAGATTAAGATTAAAGATGTTTAAAGAAATGGAAATTGGATAATAAAAGGGAAAAATTTAAAGGTATATGACATTAAGAACAAGGATTATGTTTAAAAAAGCTGAAGCTATATAATTTAATATTTCATTAAATTAAAGATTGGGTTTAAAAAAGTGGAAAAGAAACTGCTGGACAAATAATGTAGATTGGAATACAAAAGAGGGAGGTATGAGGAAGTCCAGAAAATAAGTAATTCAAAATTGGGAATGTAAAAGAGAGTTTGTTTTAAATTGTTATGTTGTGTGTTTTTATTGTTAAATTTTGTATTGTTTTTTTGTGTGTGTGTTGTTTTTTCTTTTTTCTTTGTTTAAAACTTTAATAAAAATTATTCAAAAAAAAAAACAACAACAAAGAAGTGTGACTAGCCCAAGGTCACCCAGCAGCTGCATGTGGAGGAGCGGAGATGAGAACCTGGTTCACCAGATTATGAGTCTATCACTCTTAACCACTACACTACACTGGCTAGACTAAGAACCATTATCAAACTATTGAATATTGAGCCAGCTAAACAGGATGGATGAACAGTGAACCAGTTACTGGACTGTGCAAGACAGGATGAGCAGTATGACAACATGTCTGGGTGAATCAGGGGACAAAGTGAGAAGATGATTGAGATAAATGACTGTTCTTAAAAAAGACATGTTGAAAGAAACATGCTATTCATAAAGACAGTATGACAACATAACGGAAACCAGACTGTTTTCAACTAATAACTATTCTTATCTATTTGAGGAACCAGCATGGACTTCCGGGTTAGCGCCATCGCCGAATGGCGGACTCCCTCCGAGCTCCGGGGGGAGTCTGCTCGGCAGGGGCTGGGTCCTACCGCGCCGGCGACGCGGGGACCCTTAAAAACCACGGGCACGGAGTCCGTGGACATGGGTGACTCGGCTTGCACCATTAGCGCCCTCCCGACTCGTGAAGGAGCCTTTAAAAAGGCTTCGGATCGGGTGCCGGGAGTGGCGTGGTGCTTGAGTCCACTGCTTTCCTGCCGAGCGCAGCCGCATGCCATTCGACGGAGACCGCTGACTCCTTCTATTGAAAATTTGGACTATTAACAACAACCCGTGAGTAATTGGGAAACCGGGTTCAAAATTTTGGATTTGGCACGAGCGGGGCGATTTAAAAGGAAGTCAATCCCCCTATTGTAAGCATTCCAAAACAAGGACTGGGTAACCAAGGTCCAAAGGGAAGTATGTCTCTGATAAAAATCATTAATTTCACGATGGGAAATTATAAGAAATGTGCTGGAGGAGAAGAGTGGAGGAGCTTGGTGAAGAGAGACGGAGACTTTGACAGCTGTCAAAGTGGCTGTCAAAGCTGGAGAATATAAAGAGGACTTTGTTATGAGGACCTTGCTGGTTAATTTTGTTACAATTTGCTATAATATGGATATAAACTGTTGGAAAATAAGCAACAATTTGACTTTTGGATTAGAGGATATAAAGTTATTACAATCCCCCTAGAGGGGTTTCGGGATACTACAAGAACGGTCGTAAGTGGAAAAATACCCTGGGATTCGTACAGGATTTGTTATCTTCTGGGAAAGCTGCAAAACTGAAAGAGTATTTTGTCTACAGAGGAAGACAATGGAATTTTTTATTGAAGAAAGGAAGGGACTGGACGTAAGTTTTTGTTCCTGAATAACAAACCTCTGCAGAGACACTAGATTTCTGAATTAGAAAGTTTTAGCAGCTGAACAGGACAAGAAACCTGAGAAAGTGAGGAATAAGAAGAATAAAGGACTGATTACGACACGGAAAGAACAACGGGAGGAGTGGTAAAGATCAAGGAAATTAAAGGCCTTTGTTAGATTGGACATTTGAAGTCAAATATTATTTAAATTAATAAACTAAAAGAAAACCGGCAAGATGGAATCGGGAGAAATCTGGTCATGAAATGAGACTTCCAAGCTGATAATGTATAGACTGATGGACATGGGGAATTCAAACCGGGAAGGGGGGAGATTTGAAATCCAAAGGCTGTGTAACCAATTTTTGAATTTTTCTATATCTCTTATTTTCTATTTCTTTACATAACTTACGCATGTTATTTTACTTTGATCGGACGTGTTTAAAAAAAGGGAATTTGTGGAAGGAACTGGGGTGGATCTTGGGGAAAATCTTTTTCTTTTCTGTTAATGATGTGGGACGGTGGTAAGATTTGTACAATTCAATCTGGATAGTGGGTTAAACAAATTAAGCTTTAAATTGGGAGTTACAGCTTGTAGAACCAAATTAAGGAAAGGGGAATACAATGGGGCGGGGGGGGAGTCCCAGAAAGTAGGGAATGAAAGTAAGGTTTTTAAATATCTTCTTTCTTTTGTCTTTTTTCTTTGTATTTTTATATTTTTGGAAACTTTAATAAATATGATTTAAAAAAAAAAAAAAAAAAATATTTGAGGAACCAGCATGATGACAGCTATCAACCTCCTTCAATACAAGACAATGTAACCAAAAGGGGACCTGAGCCTTGGGAAGGCCTGGTGAACTTTGTGTGCTGTCCTACCTGCAGGAGGATGCCATCCATAGACTCTTAAAAGAGACTGGCCATCTCTTTTAGTGGGTCCAACCATCTGGTAGGTATGAAAGGAATGAATGAATGAATGAATGAATGAGTGAATGAGTTTTTATTGCTTATTGCTTGTTAAATAATAAAGGGTTGTACTCTTATGAGATTTGTGTCATTTTGTCTTTCTTGAAAACGCTCTGATAAAAAGGAACTTAACTCTGTTTTCATGACACAATGGTAAGCCAAACAGTGGCTTACTGAGAGAAGAAACATGTTTGCTTACAGAGAAGAGCTTGCAGCTGCTTTGTTCCTCCTTGGTCCTTTTCACTGCCATAGCAGACTACACCGAGCCAAAGTTTGTCTTAGCAGACTATCCAATCCAGGACTCATGGCTAAACTCTCTCCGCACAAACTATGAGTGCTAGAACGAAGAGCACTCCCTGCTGCAAGGCCCATTTCCACCTGGCCTAGGAGGCGGAGCCCACACTCACCCTAAACAGCTAAAAGGCTCCTGGGAGACCAGAGGGACATTGCTGGAATAACTCTTGGGGTGGGACAACTGGCTGAAATGTTTTAAAAGGTTCTAATTTTGGTTCCTCTGCTTCATTTTTGTCAGGTTGGGGTTGATTAAATTGTTTAGTTGGGGCTGGTGATTACTTTAATTTGGGTATAATTGTAAACTGTTTATTATTATTGTCGTTGTTATTATTGTTGTTATTGGTTTCTATTGATTTATTGGTTGGTTGGTTTGTTGCTTGTATAGGGTATTTTGTTTTTTAATGTTTGGTGTTTTGTTGTGTTTTTATATATGTTGTAAGCTGCACAGAGTGGGGAGACCCAGCCAGATGGTCAGGATATATTTGCTCTTGGCTTGTTCTTGGCTTTCAAATTTGGCTCACTGTGTCCTGTGAACCAGCCTAATTCCCCCTAATCACATTTAAAACATCATTTAAATCAAGAATGGGCAGTCTTTGGATTTGTGGGATCCACTTTGTTTTTTACTAGAATTCTGAGATCCACTAATCAGAGCCAGGTGCAAAACAAGTCAATCAGCACCTGCATAGATCAGAGATTCTAACACAAAACTCTTGAAGTGGCTAGCATAGATGCACAAACACCTCATATTTTACAAGTGAGGAATACTGTCACTAAGAGGTAAGGACAAGGCCAACCATCATGGGGACCTGGATCTTTTAACAAGTTATTTTTGCCTCAGACCCCAAATTTGCCCATCAAGCAGGTGCAGTAATAGGGGTGGAAAAGGAGGAACAGTGTGTCTGGGCATGGCAAAACAGACAGCAGCAAATCTTCTGCTTTTATGGAAATGTAATATCTGGCTTTGAACAGTGCAATAATTCAATTTAGATTATGCTTAATTATTACTTTTTGACACATTAATATATTTTATTAATATACCCAGTTTTCTACAAAGAACTAATAAGAACTTCCTGGCAGTCTAGTCTCTTGCTCTTAGAAATTATTGTTAGTATACTGTCTAAAATAGGGTTGTTACACACACAAAAGCCTGTAGCCAAATAACTGTCTGGGTAATAATGTAACGTATTTGCATATTAATAAAACATCAATCATCCTGAAGGGAAACAACACTCAATTTTGAGATTATGCACATTACTTTTTACTTTTAGTATTACTTGTTTATTATATTTCTAAACAACCCTTCATGTACCAGGATCACTGGGCATGTTACAAGATTCATATTAGAACAGCAATATAACAAAAAATAAGAACAATAATAAAATAATTAAACCAATTACTAAAACTATTCAAACAATTACAATAATTATATTTCTGCAACAAACAAGGCATTATTTTTTAATGCAAGTACTTAGAAAAATCCCAGATCAGCTTTATCACCTTTTGTATACCTGTTCTATGATAGCGCCCACCAGTAGTGTTTGTATGTAAAGGTAAAGGGACCCCTGACCATTAGGTCCAGTCGTGGCCGACTCTGGGGTTGTGGCACTCATCTGGCTTTATTGACCGAGGGAGCCGGCATTCAGCTTCTGGGTCATGTGGCTAGCATGACTAAGCCGCTTCTGGCGAACCAGAGCAGCGCATGGAAACACCGTTTACCTTCCCACCGGAGTGGTACCTATTGATCTACTTGCACTTTGACGTGCTTTCGAACTGCTAGGTTGGCAGGAGCTGGGACCAAGCAACGGGAGCTCACCCCATCGCAGGGATTCGAACCACTGACTTTCTGATCAGCAAGCCCTAGGCTCTGTGGTTTAACCCACAGCACTACCCACGTCCCTTGTGTTTGTATGTACTTGTATTAAAAAGTAATTAACCTTTTAAAACAAAAAAACAAAAAACCTTCCTGGTTAACTGAGGGCATGTTGAATTGACTAAACATTGCAGTACCATTATTTTCTACCTGCTACTAAAACAGAACCATAGCCTATCCACCATGCTACTTCTGCTTAGATTCATTTTCTCTATATTTGTGTGTCGTTAACATCAGTTGTCAGCATCAAAGTGAAATAATTCCGCAGCATTTCTAAGCTGAACAGAGTGAGCCTGGAAGACAGCAATGGGGCAAGTTCTATGCTTTGATGGCATGAAGAAGAAGAAAAAAATCTTTTCAGTGCTGTATTATTGTCTCTGCATCTCTGCTATGTTACCTGCCATGAATCTGTTTATCTGGGATAAGTTTTCTGTCTTTACAGAAATTACACTAAGCATTTCTGACATGGATGCAGTATTTCCAAATATATACAGTATGTATTTTCTTCCTGAACATTTCCCAGATTTCATCTTCCCACTTTTAAACGCATTTCATAATTTATGTTGAAGAGGTAGTGAAGCAAAAGAGCAGCTGGTTTACACATCTGCCTATTCACACCAAGAAATGTGAGTTGTTAGAATACAGCAGTGCCCCCAACGAATGTTCCTTCATTTGGATGAAAAAACCCCTCATTTCAACTTCTTTAAAGCAATGAAACAAATTTCTAGCTCACACCTCAACTCAAACTCCAAACTCTTTGTCATTGTAACTGACAGACAGTTGAGGGAAAGAGGCCTGCCCATTTTGTTGTCTGGCACAGAGCCACTTCTTTTGCTACCTTAATGACCCATACTTAGAGGGCCATTACCTCACCAGGAAGCTCACCTGGCTATTCCAGGAATTGAATCCATGATGGATCCAAGAATTAGGAGGCATACAGCCTACCCACAGACACACAGCCCACAAACTCATAGCGGTATGTTTCCTCATCGTAATTCTTTCCCCTACACCAGGGGTCAGCAAACTTTTTAAGCAGGGGGCCGGACCACTGTCCCTCAGAACTTGTGGGGGGCCGGACTATATTTTGAAAAAAGAAAGAACGAGTTCCTATGCCCCACAAATAACCCAGAGATGCATTTTAAATAAAAGGACACATTCTACTCATGTAAAAACACCAGGCAGCCTCACAAATAACCCAGAGATGCATCTTAAATAAAATTACACGTTCTACTCATATAAAAACACACTGATTCCAGGATTGTCCCCAGGCCGGATTTAGAAGGCGATTGGACCGGATTCGGCCCCTGGGCCTTAGTTTGCCTACCCATGCCCTACACTTTTAAAACAAGCTTTAAAAAATTATTTCATCATTTTTAAAAAAACAATTGCCAGATTTGTCTGGGGTCTGTCTGTTAAGTGACTTAGAAGTTTGAAGGAAGGAACTGACTGGCAAACACGTAATGCTCACTGGAAGGATCAAATGATGGTGAACTAGGAAAGAAACAGCAAAGCAAGCACATCAGAGAATGGATCAGTGGGTCTGAGCATGGAAAGGAAGGCTACATTTGAAAAGAACAGAAAGAAGAGCTTCCTTTTGCTTGGAGGAAAGAATGGCATCAGTACTAACAATGAAGTTACATAACAAACGGGTAAACATAGAGCCAAGTAATGGGTAGCTTTAAAAAATAACAACCAATGCGACAAAGCTGCTTCCAACATTTTGCTGGCTGCGCAAATAATGTGATATATTCTGATTGTGTCAAAATTAATTTCTAATTGATTGTTGAGTAAGGAACAAACTAGAGAGCATTCTCCCTGAACAGCTTTGTAATTAATAGGTCTTCACTTTGAGGTCTATTCATGTTATCCATATCACCGGTGAAATATATATGCTCTGCATGTTGCTATAGCTGAAATTGGATTTCTTTCTTTCATTTTGCTATGACTATTAGGAACTGCAGATCAATCTTTGAGTTTTTGTGCCTCCCCATTCCGATCTGCATTATGCAGCATGTTATCACAAGGCAGCAAGAATCATGTCCAGCTATGTCTGCTGCTGTTAGATAACTGAGCTCATTTGTACAACTACCCTTCCTACATTCCTACTGTAACAGGGGTTTCCTTACAGTAACTGCATGCCTTCAGTGTGCAGAGAATGAGCACCATCTTTCTTTCTTTTTTGCTTAGTCATGGAGATGAATTGTAACTGCAATTTTAAAACAGTTGCTAAAGTAAATATGAGAAAAGAGGAAATGCCATTAGTGAGGACTTTCTCACAGATACCAATTGTTATTTTTAATTCTTAACCTATCTTTCCTGGTGTCTATGCACATATAAGTTGTGCTGTGTATTAGGAAAAGAGCAACAAATAAGTTAAGAAATCACATCCAAAAGTATGCATAGGCTGAAACTGGAGTACTAAAATGGGAAATATTACATTACTAGTCACGCCATACATACCTTCATAAAATAGAAGCTGAAATACAGTAGATGTGTCAGATCTAAATGTTTTAGAAAAGTGATCCACTGTTTTTGCTGAAATCATCTAGTTTTAAGTATATCTATACCTGGCCATCTATATAATTATGTTTAAGCAGAGGTTGCACCATAAGGGGAGAGGCTTTGAAGTGCTGGGGACCTGAACGCCACCTGATACATTAATCCTTTACATCTAGAAATGCAAATTAAAACAGGTACACACAATTCTGAGAAGATGACAGCTGAGTAGGAAAGAGCTATATGATTGCTGCAACAGTCTCTCCATAGGGGAATACAACACAGGGAAGTGGATTTCATGCCTCTGGGTGTACTACTACTACTACTAATAATAATAATTATTATTATTATTTATTTATACTACGCTCATCTGGCTGGGTTTCCCCAGCCACTCTGGGTGGCTTCCAATGAAATATTAAAATATAATAATTAATCAAATATTAAAAGCTTCCCTAAACATGTCAGGGTTAACCTAGGGTTGCCATATTTCAAGAAGTAAAAGTTCGGACACCCCCAAAGTTGCTGAGCTTGATTTCTTGGTTTACTTGCCAAAGATCCAGGACAAACCGCTGCCTTCCAAAAATCCCACCCCCACACCCCCCCCCCCGGTCGTCATTTCGGCTTTTGAAATCCCAGATGTATTTGAAAACAAATGAGAGGCTAATAAATTTACATGGCCCCAAAGAGCCTTGCAACCTGATCCTATAAACATCAGAAACTGATCCCATTGGGCTCAGTAGGGCTTATTTCCATGTAATTTGCATAGGGTTGCAGCTGTACTTGTGCCCTGACTGAGATAAGGAGAAGCTGCTATTTAGGAGCTATGTCTACCTTCATAATCATGTTTGGGTTGACTTTCAATAGTAGCCACACTAGGAGCAACTGCTGCTGAAGCCAGAAAAAGTCTTCTTCACCAAGATCTCGGCAGGACACATACAGTAGAAGATGACAGAATCTTAATGTGGTACGGTAGACTGCACCACTTCAAACTCCAAGTGGGAGATATAAATAAACATGTCCTGAATGTTTGGGGGTGTTGGATGACCAGGACAACTCACTTGTCAATCATGTGATATCATAATGACATCAGGTGATTGACAGCACTTCCCAGTGGATTGCTTCCCAAAAGCCAAATGTAAGGCTGGCAAAGTTCTTTGCACAGTGTTTCCCCAAAACCAACCAACCAACTGGAAATTGCTGCACCTGCAAAACCCCTTTCAGTCAAGCCCCACCTGCCACACACCTGACATAATATACATAGGACAAGTGGCCGTGGCTCACCCACAACAAGCTTGCAGGTCAATTGGGGAGGCCTGGTGAGCCACCTTAGAAATACATCACATCTCATCATAGCTGGAAACAGCTGGCTTCTTTGCCTGCACATTCTCCGATTCTGAGCTTTTGATGGGCAGCTGAAAAGTCACTGTTCTCTCTCCTTGTGCAGAGGGCCTTCTCGGCAGTGACACACTCCCTGTGGAACACCCTCCCATAATATGTCAAGGAGATAAAGAAATACACAATTTTTAGAAGATACCTGAAGGCAGCCTTGTATCGGGAAGTTTTTAAAGTTTGACGTTTTATTATATTTTTATATTTTTCTGGAAACTGCTCAGAGTGGCTAGGGAAACCGAACCAGACGGGCAGGGAATAATAATAATAATAATAATAATAATAATAATGTCATTCTAATAATATTGTCCTTCTAATAGAGGGCACCTTCTGACATCCTTTCAAAATAGAGGGATGTCCTCAATAAACAAGATCACAAGGCCACTTTAATGAAAGCTGACTTAATAACTCATGGTTTGAAATGTGCTTGTTTCAAACAAACCATAGTTAAGTTTAATCCGAGTTTGCCAGGTTCGGACAACATGACAGCATGTGATTAATCAAATGAACACTTCCAAACTTCTCAAGGCTGCGTTGGAGAAAAGCACTAGTCTGAATATGCCTGGGTTTGTTCCTGTCATGGTTTATCATGACATCTAAAGATAGTAACTGTGTTATCACAGTCTACCTGTGGACATATCATCATGGTAAGTTACCTACAGAACTGAAACCTTTCAAATAATATATCCATAATTCATTAGAAATGGTGTGGCAATAAAAACCTTGTTAATAACGGCAGATTCTTCCCTGTGGAATATGATTCTGGCAGAATGGGGAGATTTCACAGATAAGAACACGCTATGCCAAATATATAGCAAAAGGAGCAATCTTTCCAATGGAATAGAAAATGAAAATAGCTTGATAAGGAAATAGATCAGAAACCTGGCAAACAAATATCTTACATATTTTATTTAAAATGTTTTCTGAAGGTTTAGACAGCATAAGGTTCAAAAGGCAGCTGCAATTCTAACTGAAATGGTACACCATTCAGCATTTCTCTTCTGTAGTTACAGATATCTATCCTGTAACACTAGCTACAGATGTCATACACTTTTATTGATAGATATTTCAATAGTGGAGACCACATACTCAAGCAGGCTGCAACACATATCCCATGTTTTACACCATAAGCTCATCCAATGAGATTATTTAGCTTGCTCGTTAAATGGCATATAATAGTTGCAGGGCTTATGGGAAAGTACTCGTGAGTTCATTTTATTTTAGTATCTAACAATATACGATATTCTCCTTCAGCATCTGTGTAACAAGTACAAACAAGATAGCCTTTTCCCTGTTGTGAACAAGCTAATTTGGCTTCTTAATCTTCTTGGCTTTCTTCTGCTATTCTTAATTGCTGAGCCCAGGGAGTTCAGCTTTCTAAATTATTCAGTGTGTGTAAATTTGGTTCAACTATAATTAAATGACCCATCTGTATACTAATACTTTCCAATTCAACTCTTACAGTGTAGGAGCTTGAAATCGTATTTTCAGTCAGCAGCTCTGTAAAAGGGGCTCTAACTTCTATAACTTCCTATACATTTTTGGTCAAATGCTAACGATGGCACAAAAACACCTCATCATCTTGGGGCACCACAAACCAGTCTGGTTTGCACTTAATGCTAAGCCAAACTATGCCTTAGTGTGAATGAGCAAGCATGCTGGTTCAGATTTAGAAAATTCTGGCAGCTTCACTCCTCCCCACTCCTGACATACTACCCAGAGCTAAGCCATGGTTTTGGTTTAGCGTTGTGTTGTGTGCTCAAAACAAACAACAAGTTGCTGTTGCTGTCGTTAGTTTTCTTTTTTTATTTTAATAAATATAGTTTGTTTGATTTCCAATATATTAACAATTATTTTTTTAAAAACCATAAAAAGATACAAAAACAAAACATAGTTGTTTGCCAAATTCCAATATGTGATTTTGATGGTTGCCATTTTTCAGGGTTATCAGAAAAATATTTTATAATTTTATATTTTACCATATTTCAACAAAATCGTCTACATCACCTATATTATTCAATGGATGCAATCTCTTTGCTATTTTTTTGATACAGCAATAGACCCTACATTCTGTTTCCAATGAGAGATACACATACAATGGTACCTCGGGTTAAGTACTTAATTCGTTCCAGAGGTCCGTTCTTAACCTGAAACTGTTCTTAACCTGAAGCACCACTTTAGCTAATGGGGCCTCCCGCTGCTGCCGGGCCGCCGGAGCACGATTTCTGTTCTCATCCTGAAGCAAAGTTCTTAACCTGAGGTAATATTTCTGGGTTAGCATAGTCTGTAACCTGAAGTGTATGTAACCTGAAGCGTACGTAACCCGAGGTACCACTGTATGTTCCAATGCTTTCCAATTCTGTGCCAGTAATAGGTGTACTGCTACTAAAATAAAAGTAATTTGTTCTTAATAACAGAGGTAAAATTGGCCTTCTTTAAAAATAGCTAACAATCCAAAACATGAGGTACATTCCACATGTTGAATGGTAATATACCTTCTTTCTGTAAATACCCTCTGCCAGAAGGGCTTTATATGTTTACACACACATCCACATGTGAAATGTTGTAGCTATACTATTGCAGCCTCTCCAGCACAGGGGTGGGATGGACAAACCACAAGTTGTTTTGTTCTTGACGTATCACTCATGTTTTTTTCTTGGGAAGACAAATCACAAGCCCAGGTTCTCATGCAATGCTTAGTCAAACCTAGGTTTAGCTACCAATAGCATGACAGCAGCACAAACAGGGGAGAAGCGAAGAAGCTGCAATTTTCTAACTGCACCAGCACACTTGCTCATGCATGTGTAACCTTGGTTTGGCTTAGTAGTCTTGTTCACATGTGAAAGCAAATGCCACTGATTCATTCACCGAGAGTTATTTTAATGTATTATGTTCTTAGTGACTTACATGTCAACCCCCTAATACCTTGGGGGGGGGGATTAGTCTACAGTACTTTGCATCCTGTTAGCTCATTTAGATGTTATTAAAGCAAACATTTTTTGTGATCAACTGTTCTTCTAAAGGCAAGTAAGTTAAACAACTTATCTAAGTTATCAAGAAACAAAAAATAACATGTATTTTATTCATTTGGGCAAACATGAAGAAGTACTTTTCCATTAACTGGACCACTTCAGCCAGAAAGTGAGGGATCACATGTCCTCCCTCTAAAAACAAAATAAAAACAAAATCCACAACCTCCTACAATTAAAAAATCCTACTACTCATGTTTCTTTTGCATATTTTAACCTCTTATCTTCTTCTAGTACCTGCCCTATATTTGCTATAACCCTGATTCTCCCATACTGAAGAAACCTTCTCTTGACCAATTGACTCTGTACAGTGCCTTTTTTTTATTTCTTATTGTGTATTTGGGTTTGTTTTAATGAATCTTATTATATTACGTTAATTATGTTGTATGCCCATTTGCATATTATATGAAAAGTGATTATATGAATCCTTTAATAAATCAATAATAAAATAATTTTTGTCCTATTTCTCTTGAATGCTGGGTTATTACTCAGTATTTCCTCTTTTGCTAATTCGTTGTTAGATACCCATCAACACAATTTCTGTTCCTCCCATTGCACTGAATCTGCTTTTCTTAGTGACCTCTGCCTTGCTAAATCACTCGGGTCAGTTTTCTGTTTTGCTTTTTTTTACTTCACAAGTAGCACCAATGGTAACTGAACAGCCTTGAGCCATGCAGTATCTACCTCTCAAGCTTTCTGTGAACATGATGGGTAGTTGGATGTCAGCAGGAATTAACATCCAGGAATTCAGAAGGTATAGTCAATACACAAAGTGTTTGTGACGGCTCCAGATATTTAGGCTGAAGCAAACAACAATCCAGAGGTGTGCAGCTTGAGTTCAACTCTGACATTTAAATTAAGTGATTCATCCTTGATGGTAAACTTGAGGTGTGGTAAATTACTAGGATTAATCAAGGTTTAACACAAAACGTCTGCCATGCTTAATCTGAATCTGTATTCACTAGATATCAACCACAGAACTCTTATTTCTTTTACTTTGAAAATTAAGGAGTTACCTGACAGCATATGCTGTTTGACTGATAAAATTGGGAATTAAAATAGATAGCTTCGACCAAACATCAGATAAACTTATTCTCTCAGGGTGGTGGGGGGAAGTGTATTATATAAACAAGCATACACATACATGCAAAAACAAAACAAAACAAAACGACACAAAAAAAGAAACATGTCAAAAGGACATGAGGCTACTGGGCAACTATTCTATAACCGTACAGTAATTAATTACCTGTACAAAGCTCTCTACTATTAAACTCAAAAGGGCTGACACGTCTGCCAACAGCTGTCTCCAAGCTTTCATTTCAGCAATCAAAGCTGAAACCAACAGATAAGTACCAAGACAGATTTAATTACTTTCCCCTCTTACTTTCATTAATTTTATTAGATGGAACATTCAACGTCCCCTCAGAATGGGGTACGCAGCTACGCTGCATATGAAAACAAAAGAGAAATGTTGTGGTGCTCAGAGACATCTAAAGTGAAATCTGTCTGGATGTCTGTACCAGATATAATTTCATGGGTGAATTGCGGTATTCTAATTCTGAATGCGTAAGTTGTTATTGCAATTTCCAGGGAAATGTAAGCTGCAATCCTAAACATACTTGCTAGGAAACAATTTCATGATTGTGTTACAATGAGGCTGTCTGGCTGTTTGAAACTTCTTTCTATCTCAGGAACAACCAATAGTCTGTAGGGAGGATACAACTCGCGAAGAATTTTATCTGTCCCTGGAATCCCTACCAAATTTTAAACAATGCAATTTTTTTTAAAAATTGACCATATTTAATTGTAAATAAATGTTGTCAAGTTACAAGAAATAAGGATGTTCTAAGGATGACTGAATTTATACACCTGTCCTTTGAATTTTAAATTTAAGGGTGCATATTTGTATATAACATTGTGCATGAACACACATGGTCAGTAACTGTGTAGCACCTACAGATGAAACTATTAGGTGGTCACTTTGTGTTTCAAAAACCTCTTCTAGCCTTTGACCAGTGTTTAGTGGAGAACACCCACTCCAAAACAATAGAAAAGTCCACAAACCTCTGCCTTTGAGTTTTCATTTCTTTGCTTTGGCAAATTAATATTTTAACAATGGCAAGTTATAGATATTGCTGTGGAATAAAACCAGTTCTGCTCCTTAGCAATCCCTTGGACGGACACACACACACACAAATGGTGTGCAGTCATAATTCATGCTCACCTCAAATGCAGCTTTAAAAAAAATCTAACTGCAGACAACATGATTATCTGTAAATCAAAGAAACACTTCCTCATCAATAATGTCCCCTGCATGCCATAGATAAGGTGCATTGTACTCTTATCAACACCTTAATTATACAAGCTCAGAAAACACACACATGTCTACTATTCACTAAGCTCTTGATACAATTTCTCATTTGATGTCATTGCTGCCATATTACTTTGCCTATTAACTATCCCACACATGAAATTTTTGTTTATAGAAACAAACTTCTTTGTGCATCCTTATATCAGACAAACTTCAGTACCAACTGCACTGGGGGATGAGTCAGAAGGAAGATATACAGTACTTCAATCTCAAGGCAACAGTGAAAATAAGCTATCTTTTACAGACCCGTACTGCTGACAAATGGAAAGAGAAGCTTGAAAGAAGGCTTTTTGTCTGTCACCTTACATTTCTTGAAAGCCTGGCAAATACCTTTGACAAACCAGAGCATTAAATTGACTATACTGATCACCCCTTTTGGGAGATTCAGTTTTTAACACTTCCCATTTGGAATCGCAAGTGCTCCTCTGAAATAAAATGAACTCCTCAAACATGAAAGAAGTAATTGTATTAGTTGATGGTGTCCTAATACATGAAACATGAATGGAAGCCCATGACAAAACACTGGTCATTGCCTTGAATTGGATCTTTTAATCCGGACTCATACTAAACAAAGTGTATGTTATCAAAGTGAAATGGAATTCATGGGGCAAAGCCATGCTTTGAAAAGGTAACTGCCATTAGAGAGAATCCCAGTAACATTATATAACTAAGATGCTCTTGGAGAATACTGAATTATTTATGTATGTATTTGCAAGACATCTCATAACCACTAAACCTGTTACTAAGGTCCAGGGAGGAATCAGGAAGCTTCCTTCACAAAGATAAAGAACGTGATCTCCAATGTCCCAAATTTTGCATATTTGTGATGTCAACAAACCTACAATGGTTCATGAAGATGCAAGCAGCTAGTTGTACTACTTGAAGTGCTACTACAGCTACTACAAATGCTCCCACAACATGTCTCAGAATGGATGCCAGCCACATTCTGTCCAATAACTCTTAATGAAGCAATGAAACAAAAGCACACTGGTTTTTTTTAAAAAGATATTTTTGAAACCTTTAACAGATAGTTATGTGGTCAACCTTTTTTATGACTCCTCATAGACCCATAAATGCTTGGTAAAAGGGGGGAAATGAATGAAGTACATTACTATACCAATGTCTTCTAATAAGACTGAGGAGATTGAACATGATAGGAAAATTTGTTTCATGGGATGGAAACTGTTAATAGCAGACACCTTGTCAAGAAACTGCACAAATGCATACAAGTTAGAGGAGTTCCAAAATTATGTTATCAGATCCAGAATTTAAGAAGTAATTAGAAATACGCATTGAATGTAGCCAGCAGATTTGCTAATGGGAAATCAGAACACTCATTCCAGCTACAGAGAAGAATCTAATTCCAAAGTAGCCAGATCTGGAAAAAGTTCAGAATATAAAGCTAAGTGAAGCTATTAACATATCTATAACTGGCACAATTTGGTGTGGGAACTACTACATTTAGAGCCAGGAGACTGAGCTTATAGTCAATAACGGAGAAAAGACATGTCACACTCCAACATCATTTTCATATTCTCCTGACGGGCCACCAACTACTTAACAGAAACAGATTTATTTTTTTTTCTATTCCTAAGAACGAACAAATGCACAAGTTCTTCTGGAAACTGAGGTTCATCTACTAAGACTCTGCCTGTGCCATCTTCTGATAGCATTACTTAGTCTTGTTGAGTTATTTTGACTAGGACCAGCAAAGCTAAAATCTGAAAATATTACACATTGCACTTAGTTATTAAATCTAGTTTGTGCCTTTGTCTCATGTTCTGCAATTACACGGGAAAATATTGTTTCAATAACCATGCTTTTAAGAAATACTACCTCTATTAAAAGAAGCCTGCACTTACCAACATGCCCATTGCAAAGTAATATTTGCATTTGAATTACATCTTTGTTATTTCTTAAATCCCATTAGATTTCTTTTAGAGTAGGCACTTACATAAAAGTAAATGTAGAGATGAAAGGCATCTATCTTTTTGAAATTTTAACAATTTAGAATAGGGGTTCAATAAATAAAATAATTGCAGAATGAGTTAGAAATTGAGGTTTCTCATATTTCTACTTAAAACAAATGCAGGGACTATGAAGCAAAATAATATGTCACAGGTTATTTTAATAAAATAGGATATGGCTTTCAAATTACTGAAAAATGTATTACGGTAAAGCTACAAAACTGTAATACTCAATAATGTACCTAAACTCTGAGCATGAAGACATTTCTTCAGGCTCTTCAAAGTATTATAGTTCTGGTCATATTTATATTATGGGCACAGCTGAGAGCTGATGCCTATGGCACTAGTGACTTCAAGAGAGTGCTGTGATAACCACCCTTTCCACTATGTAACAATGCATTGTATATGAATATATGCTTCATTTTATTAGCTAGTGAATGAGCCAGACTGGACAAACTGAATTTACTGCAGAAAGAGAAAATAAGTAGCATTAATCATTTTAGACAAAACTCTAATTCTGAACTATCTTCTTTGGAAGTCCTATCCATTAATACCAATGAGTTCAAGGGGACTTACTCTTGTGTAAACATGGTAAGAATGCAGCCTGAGGCACAACTAATATTCTCTAGGTAGGGCTAATGTAATAAAATTGGGTTAAAAACATAGGCCTGATCCCTTGATGTTCCCAGAAACCTAATGATGTATGAATATATTTTTTTAAAAGTAAAGGTAAAGGACCCCCTGACAGATGTCCAGTCGCAGACAACTCTGGGGTTGCGGCGCTCATCTCGCTTTACTGGCCGAGGGAGCTGGCGTTTGTCTACAGACAGTTTTTACGGGACATGTGGCCAGCATGACTAAGCCACTTCTGGCGAAACCAGAGCAGTGCACGGAAACGCCGTTTACCTCCTTCCTGCCGGAGCTGTACTTATTAATCAACTTGCACTTTGACGTGCTTTTGAACTGCTAGGTTGGCAGGAGCTGGGACCAAGCAATGGGGAGCTCACCCCGCCGCAGAGATTCGAACCGCCGACCTTCTGATCGGCAAGCCCTAGGCTCAGTAGTTGAGACCACAGTGCCACCCGCGTCCCTTATGAATATATTAATCATATATTATTACAGGCTGGATCTAGCCACATCAAAGAAGTGTTTCAGTTTAAAGTGTTGTAAATTTAAACGGAAAACAGGTAGAGAAAAATGGGACTCCATGTCACCATCTGGTGGCACAATGTTATATTGCAGATACAACACATATGAATCACTTCTCTCTTTTTACCAGTTTAGCTGAGTCCACACTTTGATCTTAAAAATACTGACTTGGAAATAAATCCCATTGATTTTTCTGTAGCGTTTGCTTTTGCAATATATGTTTATGGTTGCAGCTTTAAACTACTCATCAGCAAAGCTGATTGGGCTTGAAAAACATTTTAAAACTGTCTATGGCAGCAGGCTCAAAGTTCCAACAAAAAAGGAAGTAACATGTAAAAATCAGCTAACTAGAAAAGAAGCAGATGGTGTTTTTAAAAACAAAAACAAAACAGAAACCTGAAACGAATGTTGGTCAGGTTCACACTTCATATTAAACCATAGTTAATGTTCAACTATGGTTTCATGACAAAGTCCCCAATTCACTCCTTTCCGGCCTCACTATACTGGAAGCAACAAACTACAAGTCTTGGCTTGTCATGTCATCTGAACTCAGGGTTGTGGTCTCTCTCTCACTGGTTGTAGCCTTTCAGGACAATGAGACCAGGAGCCAGGGAGCAGTGAAGCAGAGCCGCAAAGCATGGATTTTAATGGTATTAAACAATTAACATGTTTTAATGCTAATTGAGAACACAGTGAATTGTTACAGGCTGGATCTAGACACATCAAAGAAGTGTTTCAGTTTAAAGTGTTGTAAATTTAAACGGAAAACAGGTAAAGAAAAATGGGACTCCATGTCACCATCTGGTGGCACAATGTTATATTGCATATACAACACATATGAATCACTTCTCTCTTTTTACCAGTTTAGCTGAGTCCACACTTTGATCTTAAAAATACTGACTTGGAAATAAATCCCACTGATTTTTCTGTAGCGTTTGCTTTTGCAATATATGTTTATGGTTGCAGCTTTAAACTACTCATCAGCAAAGCTTAGGAGCACTTTCCAGAGGGGTAGCCATGTTAATATGTTGCAGCAAAAACAACAAGAGAGTCCTGTGTCACTTTTTAATACATTTAGACCAATGTATTTATTAAGCAATAATATTTATTATTAAGCCATAGAGGAAAGAATACTATTTTGGCTGTGAACACACAATACACTTTCCAAAATGGGAACACCTAGTAGCTTCCAGCTGCACAGCTGCCCTCCTGACACTGGGGTCACTGCAGCTTATCTGGACAGCGTGGGGGGAGTCAGGAAGTTGAGACTGCATTGAATTACTGGCAGAGCCACTTGGGTACTTGCATATAGACCTCAATCTCACTGTTGGTCCCCTGCCTCACCCCTCGTCCATCCAATAAAAGTGGCAGCAACACCAGTGTTGGAGCGGAAGTTCCACAGCACTGCTGCTAACCTATATTAGTAATTTATAGTGTAAGTTCAAACAAGTGAGATGATAAGTTCTGCAAGGGAGTAACTTTCATGGACCTATTTGCAAGGTTTCCATGAACCATAACAAAGTGGCGTTTACAGCCACCAGGTCAATCATATTTCTCAAATTATAGCTGATTTCCTGACCTTACTTTGTAAGCAGTTTGAGTATCTAGATTAATCAATAGTTATTATTGTTTCTACTGAATAAATTAAAGTGTTTCTTTTTCTTCCTGAAATAATTTCCTACACCAGTACATTGAATTATGAGCACAGGACCACCACAGCTTTTTCATATGGTTTGCCAAACCAATCGCAAGCTTTTTTTTTTAATGTTAAGATCAAAATATTTTATTGGTTCTCTTTTGTTGTATCTATTACATAAATGAACAGTATCTCAGTAAAAAGATGACGAAAGGGGGAGTTTTGTTGATAGAATAGACTCCTCCCTGCAAAAAAAAATCCCTCAGATTCAAGATTAGCAGTTCTCAAGTCCTTTAATTAACTGTTTTCCTATAGGCCTTAAAAAGCAACACAATAGATTCAAGAAGTTCTTACACTTCAGCTGTTTTTTGTTTTTGTTTTTTTGTTTTTCCACTAGCAAGAAATACTGCAATAATCTTATGGCTGCTTTCTGCCATCTACCCATTTGCTGCAGGTTCCCTACCTTCCCAGGTTAGGTGAATGGCAACTGATGATCAGTGACATGACTTTGTCAGTGGTGGCACCCAGGCTTTGAAACTGCTTCCCCAGAGCAAAGTACTGACTTTACTGCCAATGAAACATTAAATCAATGTGTCTGTCACCTTTGGGGATGGAAAATCAAAATGCCCTTTGATTACCATTTCCTTGCTGCTACTTAATTTTATTTGATATTTTAGTCTGGTTTATTGCATTTTATACTTTCACCCAGCCATCTTGGATACCCAATGGAAAAAGGTAGGAAAGAAAAAAATTAAACAAAATTTTAAAAATTGTATCAGAGTAAAACAGGTTTTTTTTATTTCTGTGGACTCCACTTCAGAAATCAGAAAAGACCTTCCAAATCCATATGGCATTGCTTTTCGATAATTTCATTCCCCCTTCCCAAAAAGCCATTTATAAGTCATAAAAATCCAATATCCTATCGCTTTCTGTTTCTAAAGAATGTGTTTCTAGGCCCTATGAATGCAAACCTAAGGCTGGAATTGTATGATCACAATCTTAGACCTGCTAGAGATGCTTATTAGGATCTCCAGATGATGACGTTTTATCACAGAGTACACAATATACCTCCTTAATATTGAGTGTTCTAGCTTATGCTGCGTATGAAATCATTCCTGTAGACTGACACAAAAAAAACCACCTCTGATGACCCCCCCCCCACCTTTGCATATAATGTTGTTCTCTTACATATAGCTTCACCTATACATTTGCGGCTATTTTTTGGTGAAGAACAAATTGAATGTTTTCTTTAAGAGGTTACACTACAGTAATTTCAAATAGGCTGTCAAAATGTTAACTACCACAAGATTCTATGCATTTGATAGTTTGACATTTGAAAAAGCTAGATTGTGCACAAAATGTAAAGTTAAATGCAGAAATGGGCAAAACTTAATTTTAATTAATTAGTCGCCATGCATAGTTTTTATGAAAAACCATTTGAAATCCTGCCTCCATATTTCAACTTTAGTCCTAAAGTAGGATTTTGTTTTCAGAAAAATGCATCTTTCATCTTAAAAGGAAATCCTAGCACACAATTTTGCATTGTTCTTGGTGCCCTCCAGCACATAAGCTCAAAATATCCAATGCACTTTGACAATAAAAATATATTTTGACTTAGCACGTTACAGATAAACACTCAATAAAATTAAAATACAAACACAACTGCTGTGACATTTTAAACTTATTCTTGATCTGTTCTAGTACATTAAACACTTTGTGCTACATAACACCAAGAGAGCAGCTGGTACGAGCTCCCTTTCATGTTTGCAAATTAATTTAACCTAATGGATGTGTTTCCGATTAAGCATGCATTGATATTCAGTTTTTTATAGGCATGATCGTAGAGTTCTCCTGCAAGATTTCGTCAGTGTAAGCGGCTTGCTGGGCGGGAAAGGAGCAATCCTAAGCGTATTCAATGAGGTTCTTCGTTAAAGTAAACAATGGTTAGGATCAGGCTGTTTTGCAAGGTTCTCACACTTCCTTGGAACTAAACTCTATTGAATCAGTCAGGCTTTCTTCCAGTTAAGATTTGATAATAAGTTCAATAAAAAAAATTAACACATCTTTTTATTTCGTTTTAAAGTGGTACAATTCTACTGATATTTATATTGGACAGAAGCTCCACCCTGCTTCTAGTAAGGTCAATTTTTCACGACTAGTAGACATTTCATGAGCAGGTTCCCTTATTACATTTTGAATGATAAGCTGGTTTTCAGCTCATATTTTTAAAAAACATTTTAATATATCCTACATGCCTACGTTTTAAATATGACGCATTTATCAACCTTCCAATCACTCTTATCACATGCCATTTATTACATCTGCAATCAATGTCCAGTCCATAATGCAGCCAAAGGCTGCCCAAGATGCTTTTGTCCTTTCTTTCTCTTTCCTAATCTATTTGTTCAAAATCAAGGGGAATGCATCACATGTTCATTCTAGAATGCTGTCTTTTAAAATGGGTTTTGAAATATATAAAAAGAAAGCACTTGGTGTAAACCTAATTTAGAGCTACTCATCATGCTAGAGAATAGAATTGCTTTGTACGTGCTTACTGATGCTATAGATTAGCTTTATTAAATTAATATACATGAAAAGTAACTGTAGGAGCGTCCAACCTTATGCTTCTTTTTCCACATAATGTTATTTCAGACACACCAGTACGCATGAGAACTACTTGCAAAGTTATTTAACAAAATGTAGCTTTATTATATTATCATACATAATAAAAAGCACTTTAAATATTTAGAAAGGCTTCAGAATTTCGTGGGCCAAAATTTTGAGATAAGCAAGATTTTACGACATATTTAAATGAGAATGAAAGCTTTCGGCGTTGCGTTTGCTATAGTAGAATCTGAGTGGATCTTTTATGGAAGCAGTCATTCATATCACCCAACACAAAATCAATTAAAATCAAAACACACAAATAGTGGACCTGTTATATGTATTATCTTTTTTTCTGGTAGATAGGGCTTCCCAACAAATACTCAAATAATTTTCAATAATTATTGGAGGGTGGAAAAATACAGGCTTTCTTCAGCAGCTTCTTAAAAAATAATAATGAAGCATGTTGATTCTTTTCTAAATTCCATTTTCAGCCCTGTAGTGCTTCTAGATCACATCTGGGTACCATCTCTCTCTCTTTCTCAAAACACACACAGACAGAGAGCATCATATGCACACATCTAGTTGTTGTCAGCTCCCTGCACTGCAGTACAATGCAGCCCAATACAGGTAGGGCACTAGGAGCTAGATGGAGACTTCTCTCCGCATTCTGCCCCTTCTAGGACCATCACTCATAGCTTATTTGGAGGGGGGAGCGAGGGCTTGCAGGCTGAGAAGGGGAATGCACCCCACAGCTCCATACAACTCTATAGAACATTGGATTCCACAGGAATATGAAGCCACAGGAAGCCATCATTACCGGCATCGTACCCTGATGCGGGAAAGAGTCCTGGGTGCTATTGGTCACCAAAGGCCAAAGTATCTCAACGTGGCTTGGCAGAAACAAGGCGGCGAGCTCTTTATTCTGCATGCCTCCCCCCCCCCCAGTCCACCCCACACACCCCGTTTTCTGCTCACATGTCCAAGAGGCAACCCCCAGTAAGCCCACCCACCCCGACCACCGTCAGCATCCAGCCATTCGTTTCGCGCTCCCCAGGCGCGCGCGAGGGGGGGATTCCCAGCAGCGACTCCGGGGAGACGCACGCGCCGAGCTGGAGCACACACGCGCCTCCAGCCCCCTCGAAGTCCCCGGGTATGCTGAGTCAGCTTCGCCGGCCCCCACCTGACGACGGTCCTTCTTTGCCCCGGGGGCTGCAGACCCGCAGCGGAGAGGAAAGGGAGGATGGATTGGGGAGGGTGTAAGCAAAGAGATGGGAAAGAAACAGCAAGGTTCCGGGACGGGATTCCCTCAACTGCTAGCTGCTCGTTCCATTTCGCCCAAGTATGCGGCGATTTAAACAACAACAATGCCCTTTCCTTTAAGACTTTTCGGATCCTGGCGCCTAACCAACCCCCGAAGAACTTTGCAAGCTTCGGAGGGAGGGGGAAAGAATCTTGCAGATTCATCCTACGGGAAGCAAGTGCCCAGGTTGTTGTTTCCACCCTAATGCACTTTGCAACGCCTCGTGGCTTTTCCCGACGCATCGCGCTGCAAAAAGTCTGGCTGGGGTTTTTTTTTGCAGCCGGCATGCATGCACGCTGCACCTTTTGCATTTCCCCGCGTTCGAGGCTTCCCCGCCACTACCTCCCGCATCTGCCTTCTGCAAACACTTTCTCCCACCTCGGAGCCTCCTTTGCGCGCCTCCCCTCCCCTCCCCGCGAAGTTCTTGTGGGGTTTTTCTTTGAGGGCGGAATCCGTCAGAAAAGAAGGGGGAAAGGAGCCTGACTAGGGAGACTGGAGAGACAACGACTGCAGGATGGCAGGGAGGGTCCTGCACGGTGATCATGGCAGGGTCGCGCGCCAAGCTGGGGGGCTTTCCCCCTCGGGCCCCCCTTGACGTGGTCCCCCAAAGGGCTGCGATCCTACTGCGCACGCTTCCTTCCGAGTAAGCGCGCCTAAGCTGAGGCTGCGAAGCCGCCGCCCGCTCCTCCGAGGCAAAAAGGTCCCGCGGAACTCGGCAGAACTTCTGCTTCCCGGAGGGGTCGCCGCTTCCCGCCATCTTGTCCCGCCGCCAAAGCGGCCCCGTTCCCGCCACAAGGGGAAAGTTCGACGCCTCAGAGGCGGCTGCAGCCCCAACCGTGAGGTGAAAAAAGTTCCTCGGGACTGCGAGCAGTTCCTGAGGAAGGGAAGCTTCGCTCACTTACCGGCTGGAACTGCAGCCCGCAGCCGCCTCCCTCGCCTCACGCTGCCGCTCCGAGCGCGGCGTGGTAAGCGCTGCTGCGGCTCCACGGAGGTGGCGGCGTATGGCGGTGTTTCCCCCCACTCAGTCCCGACGCACCGCGCCCGCCCTCTGCTCCTCTCTCCTGAGGCAGGAGCGCGAGGCGTGACAAGAGCCCGAGGAGGAGGAGGAGGAAGGAGGCGGGAAAGTGGCTGTGCGCGCGGGCTCCCCGGCGCAGCGCGTGCTGCCTCTTGCTGCAGTGCCGAAGAGCGCCTGGCGAGAGGGGAGAGTCACGGCGAGGGCGGGAGGCAGGCAGGCGACGCACCGTCAAGAATCGGAGGCGTGGGCGGGGTGCGACGGCTGGGCAAGCCCATTCTCCCTCGCCTGGAGAAAGCAGCGGGGAAGATGGAGAGGGAGGGAGGGCGCCAGCCTAGCGCGCGGCGGGCAAGAAGACCATTTCCCGAGAAAGGCGAGGGAATGCAGCCAAGGCAAATGCAGTGTCCATTCTTGCCGCGCGCAAGCCGCGAAATAACTCGGACTGGCATAGTCCAAAGCTTTGGAATGGGGCTCTATTGACAGATTTGAGTACAGTACTCCTTGCGGTCGAGCCAAGCGTTATACTATGTATGGCATCCACAGGGTGTGACTGTGGCTTTAATGACAACACATGTGCTGCTTTGATGGTCAAGGCATGGAGTTGGGGAGCTAGCTGCCGGGGAGGGGACTAAACGGGGCTCTGCCCCCTCTCCGCCCTGTATTTCTTCCGAGCCTCGATCTGAAGCACCGTGACACAGTTAAGGATGCAACAGGTGAAGCTTGACGTATGATTTTCAGACGGAATAGCTGTCCTAGTCTGCTGCAGATAGAACAGCAGAGTCTTGTGGCACCTTGAAGACGAAATCTTATGCCACCGTACATTTTAGAGGGTGATCAGGTGTTTATGCAAAAAAAACTAGACTTGCAACTGATTTTAAAGGTATTACAAGACACTTTTAATTTGCCTGTTGAAATTCATGCAGTTTCTAAAGACACATAATAACTCAGAGAGCAGGAATACTGTGTACAAACTTGTCCCAACCTGGATGGTATCTTAAATGGGATATGGTTGGTGAAAACATGTAGCACGAGCACAAACTGGCTCAAGCCAGCTACAAAGTCAGTCAAATGTGACATCTCACACCAAGAATTGTACAGTGGTACTTCGGATTAAGTACTTAATTCGTTCCGGAGGTCCGTACTTAACCTGAAACTGTTCTTAACCTGAAGCACCACTTTAGCTAATGGGGCCTCCTGCTGCTGCCACGCCGCCGCCGCATGATTTCTGTTCTCATCCTGAAGCAAAGTTCTTAACCTGAAGCACTATTTCTGGGTTAGCGGAGGCTGTAACCTGAAGCGTATGTAACCCGAAGTACCACTGTAAATCTAATAAGATGCAAGATGTTCTTAAAGCAGATCAGAGAATACATCTGAACAGTCTTTTCTTTTCACAGGAAAAGACAGGTGTCCAGGGGTCATAGGAAGTTGCCTTCTACTGAGTCAGACCAATGGTCTGTCTACACTCACCTGTGGAGGATCTCCATGGTTTCAGACAAGAAGTCCTTCCAAGCCCTACTTGGGAATGCCCAGGAATTGAACCTGGAGCTTTCTGCATGCAAAGCAAGTGCTCTGTCATGAAGCTGTGGAGCATCCTAGTGCCAGTAGACATCTCCACCAAGCACATGACAGAGCCTAGATCAAATAAGGAGCCCAGCCAGCTCCAGCACATAGCCATGTTTTTGCCAGGCAGTCCAAGCCTCTGATGGCTCTCTGGCTATGCATGCAGATGTCAAAAGCAGTGTTGGAGCCTATTATGGTTTAGTTGAATCATGCAGGTACAGCAGATTCTGACTACATTGCCATTTTATGTAATTTACTTTCTCTAGTGAAGAAACTGTCACGGCACTATTTACACCAAGGGCCAAACTAGAATTGACATCAGAAACATGATCAGCTCTTCCTTATTTCTCCTTCTTCACTAAATAGCAGTTGTGGGCGTTGGAGGAGGGCTTTAATTATTTGCCCCCACAGTGTCTATCCCCTGCAACTCCTACTTGTCCAAATGGGTGAATCCATCGATTTCAGGTTCTTTCCGTTTCTCATTTTTCCAGTTTCCAGTTCTCCATTTCCACATCAGTTTGCAATTTTAAAAAAGACCATCTCATGAAAATCCATCACCATTTTAGTGTGAATCTTTCCTAAAGTACTCATTTTTATGCACAATTTTGCCCAATATACACATTTTCGCAATGCAATTTTACCTAATGTAATGCATTTTTGTATGTTAGTTCCAGTTCCAAATTTCTTCCCCATCCCTATAATGCAATCTCAGTCCAGACCCCCTGCCTCCAACACACAAACACACGGCTGCTATTTAGTAAATTAAAATAAAGCAAACGGCAATCATGTTATTAATGTCACCTCTGGTCCCGCCCTTGGAAGGCAGTAAGAAAAAGATCGTGCCGACAGGGTATTTGAATTTGAAATAGATTCTCCCTTCCCTTTCTGCCAAATGAAAATCAACAACAATTTGTACCTTTAAGAACAGTCAGTGTAGCCCTTCTCAGAACCGTTTGTTTCTTCAGCTGTGACATGCTAGCTGGACTATGACATGCTGCAGTCCAAATAAAAATTGTGACAAGATAGGCCTGTCACTTTCCTGACAGCCAGGCCAAAGAGTCACACTGAGCACAAACTTGCCTCACATCTTTAAAAGGTTTCCACATGCCATTGGCATTCTCTCACATATGTAGAGTAACTTGGTGGTGAAAGGCTAAATTAAATGGGAATATTAATCAATCTACGATTAATGCAAATCAATTAACTTTTGTGGGAATGTTAAGGGAGGTAGGAGAGGGTGTATTGTTTTGATATTATCCCTCTTCACTCATACTAGTGAGTAAACAGGAGAGCATATTCCTGTTGCAACTTATTGGAAGCAAGTATCAAAAGTATCAATTTTGGGTCCTAGTGACCCTAGGAAATAGCAAATTATCTGCTCTTCAACCAAAGGATACTGTGTCAATTCAAGTTTCTGAATGATTGCTGTAAACCCATTCACATGTTTGAGAAAGTCTGTCTTTGAATCTAATTTTAATTTGAGGATGCTTCGCATCAACTTTCTGTGAGACCTTTTGCTGGTACTTCCATATGCAATTTCCAGATCTTTAAGAATCTTGGCGGCATCATCTAATGTATTAACCTGTGCCATTTGCACATCTGTAATTGCACTTAAAATGGTAGCTCTATCTTTGTGGTTCTGATCTTCCCATAGATTAATTGCTGCAATGGAATCTTCCTCTTCACCAGTAGGCTTTTGATTAGTAATTGCATTTAAAACTTCATTTGCCTGAAGAATTGGTATCGAACACTTTTTCCACGAAATAAAATTTTCCTTCTAATTTGGGCATTCCAAAAAAGATTCCACTTACCATCTCAAAATCAAAGTTTGAAAAATATTCAAAAAAATTGAAATTTGAAAAAATAGTCAAAATTCATAATCAAAATCTCAAAAATCAAAATAACTCTTCACTGCCTCAGCTGCTGTGAACTCTGAGGAAGGGGAAAGAAGCTCAATCCCCTCACACAATAGAGCAATACATCCCACAACTTTCCATTCAGTTTGATCTGTGCTCTTCAGAAAAAGGCTAAAAACTATTGTGGAAACACTAAAGAGCGGGGGGGGGGGGGGGCTCATCTCTCTCCTTCAGCCAAGCCAGCTACAGATGTCAAGCTCCGCAGTTTGAAGATGGGGACAATATTTGCCTGCCTCCATTCTGCTGGGACCTCACCTGTTTTCCAATAATTCTCAAAGATTCTAGACAGAGGCTCTGAGATTGCACCCACAAGCTTCTTTAGTAACCTTGGGTGCAGTTCATCAGGCCCTGGAGATTTGAATTCATTTAAAGTAGCTAGGTGTTCCTTTACCACCTCTTTTCCTATCTTGGGCTACAGCTCCCTCCTTGCATTGTTTATTCTGTCAACACCAGGTTGGGCACTGCTTTACGCCTTCTCTTTGGCTCCCAATAGCATTTTTCAATCTTCTCCACACAGGTGATCTACTAGTTGTGGTCCAGAGGTGGAGGATACTGTGGAGCAGCCCCTAGTGGTGGAAATGCAGCCCCGCCCCCCAATCCAGCTGCTGCAACCCATGAATAAACAAGAGACAAGAGTTTACCATTGAAAGTGTTTGAACTTTATTGAGCACACTTTGGAATGTGGCGAATCTCTTAGTAATTTACAGAATATATTATCCATCTTCCTTTTGAATGCTTGTTTCTGATTGGCTGATACATGCTTTGACCCTACTAGCTGTGACTGTCAAGGGCTGGCTCACATCAAAAGTATGTTGGCCAGTGTGGTGTAGTGGTTAAGAGCGGTAGTCTCCTAATCTGGGGAACCGGGTTCGCGTCTCCGCTCCTCCACATGCAGCTGCTGGGTGACCTTGGGCCAGTCACACTTCTTTGAAGTCTCTCAGCCCCACTCACCTCACAGAGTGTTTGTTGTGGGGGAGGAAGGGAAAGGAGAATGTTAGCCGCTTTGAGACTCCTTAAAGGGAGTGAAAGGCGGGATATCAAATCCAAACTCTTCTTCTTCTTCTTCTTCTCTCTAGGCAAGCCTGTTTCTGTGCAGTAAAAAGGTGGACCCAGGAGATTAACCAAAGGTTTTACAAAACCCAAATAGCTGCTTCTTTCTGTAATGAAGATAAAAAACCCTATTAGGACTAGAGTGGTGCTGTGGTCTAAACCGCTGAGCCTAGGGCTTGCCGATCAGAAGGTCGGCAGTTCGAATTCCCACAACGGGGTGAGCTCCCGTTGCTCGGTCCCTGCTCCTGCCAACCTAGCAGTTCAAAAGCACATCAAAATGCAAGTAGATAAACAGGTACCGCTCCGGCGGGAAGGTAAACGGTGTTTCCATGCGCTGCTCTGGTTTTGCCAGAAGCAGCTTAGTCATGCTGGCCACATGACCCGGAAAAACTGCCTGCGGACAAACATCGGCTCCCTCGGCCAGTAAAGCGAGATGAGCGCTGCAATCCCTGAGTCGTTCCCGACTGGACTTAACTGTCAGGGGTCCTTTACCATTTTTACTCTGGAAATAATGGGATGACTTTCTGCTTTCCCTCTAACTCTGTCATCTGTTACCTACATGTGATGATTCCCAATTAGAGATGAGGGTTAAGCAACTGATGAAGGAAAAAGTACCACTGGTGGCATTGGGTCATGTCTGTAAGGCAAGGGGTTTATTTCAGCCAAGCTAGTTTCATAATTCCAGGGAATATAGTAAGCACCAGGCATAAGATTCTGTATCTGCTCCTTTTCCCAAAATAAGTATGTCTGTG